GGAATCATGAGAGAAAAACTTTCTATCTATAGAATTCCGAAAAAATGTGGATCCACAAAAACATTCCTGAAAATATCCTCATGATGGTCCTTTCTTTCATTTTTAGACCCAATTATGCCGGGAACTTACTTATGACTCCCATCTCTTTTTCTCTCTTTTTTAACCTATTTTCTTTCGATCTGTGTCTTTTTCGGAAATGAAGAGGAAAGCAGCCAAAATACGAGTTGTCTTCTCCTTTTTGAAGCTTTTCATACTGTGTTTCGAACTACTTTATTTGAAAATATCTTATTCTCCAGTCTGCGTTGGTTTTTTTCGAATTTCCAAACATGCCAAAACTGCCAGTCTCTTCTCTTTTTTCAAAGTTTTTTTGTTTATGAATGCCTCTGGAACATTGCACTAGGATTAACAGAACGACGTGCGAAAACTCTTTCAATTGATGCATCATTTGGTACCAGAAAACTTATTGAAGGCCACAAATGCTTGTTTCCATTTAAAAGTTGATGAGCCAAAGGTTGTTCCAGAATCGATGTTAGTAAACAGACATGGAAGTGAAACAAAAATGAATCACTTTCAGGAATTAGTCAATGCATCTATTCTAAAAAAGACAATGTCAAGTACACTCGTCGCCTTCTTTCACACCGATTAAAAAAGTTTACTAAAGTGTTAGATCTAGGAGTTATATCCCCAACACATCCCAACTACTCCTATTCACATTTTATCCCTTATCCTTTTTATCATCTTTTCGTATTTGATCTCCTTGAAAGTCTTATCAACCCAACATCCCTTTTTTTTTTCTTCTTTTCCTCCTATTTCTGCTTCTGACGTCGTTATTATCTGGTGTACTTGGATGAGCAACAAAAGACCATTTCCAGGGATGCCAACTTTGTTTGAGACTAATTATGAAAGAGAGTAGTTTTCCTATTGTTCTATGATCTTCTAGTTGTCAAAAAAACATATCGACGAGAAGTCATATGAAGAACGTAGTCGGGAACCCTAATCAAAAATTCATTTCGAAGATCTTGATTTACCTATTTTCCTATTGGAACCAGTCGTAATAAACGCATGGGAAAGAATATTATATGTCACGTTTGTGGATCATTGAAACTTGAACACATTGAATAGGAGAATAATCGGAGTCATCCCTTAAGAGCACAAACTCTGAAAGAATCAAATATTCAAAAAGCATACAAAAAGTAGAGAAATGATTGGTAGACGGGGACATGTCACACATTGAATTATTTCCTCATTCTCCTCTTCAATGTTGCATTTTTTGACCGATTTTCGATGGAGCAAACTTCCGTCTTCCTGTCCGAAAAAAGGATATCCTCATTTTAAACATGGTTTTGTTACATTTGTATTTCATCAGCAGAGAATTAGATTCAATTATAATGTCTTCTTCATTTTTTCCCCGATTATTCCCTGCTAGTGTCTCCATTTTTTTCATCTTCATTCATTTTTTATGGTTTTCTTTCCCCGTTTCTTATTCTTTTTTCATCGCTCTGTGTTGGTTGCATGATTATGTATACAAGAAAAAAACCATTATTCCGGCGTCTCTTTCTTTTTGTCTTTCGTTTTTTTTCTACTACCTGTTCATGGTTTTTTTTCATACTTGACGAATCACACTTTTATACCTCCCACGCATGATTCTAGATCTTTCCAGACTGTTTTACTCCTTTCTCTTCTCTCCACGATATGTTGAACACACATTCTTCGCTTGTTTTTGTCATTTTTTCCTGTCATTCCCATCACAAAACCAATTATTTCATATAGTGTATCTGCGAAGGAAAAGAATTATCTGAAAAAATTCGTTTGTGGAGGCGGGAGCATATTTCTAAGACTTTTGGAGATTCGGAAAAAGTTATTTTTGTTCGAAGCTAGCAAAAGGCTGAGGGTGTTGGTGGATCGAATTTCATGAATTAAAATTTCAATTTTTTGAATCATAATCGAGAATGTTCAAAATAGAGTTTAGTGACAAAAAATAGAATCCTTTCATTCAATCCATTTGTTGAGAGGATTGATGTAGTATGTTATTCTAAATTTGTAGAAATCCAGGGATTTCTTCACAAAAAGCTCGAGCGCAAAATCTCACGAACCATTTCATTCCAAAGAAATCTGAAAAAAATGACGTTCAGAGTTTCTAGAACTGTACTTCTAATACGTTCTTTCTATTGAACCACAAATCCTGGGAACAAAGGATTTTCTTGAATTCTTGAATTCATAAGCAAAACATGCAGTCAAGTGTTATTATCGAAACCTGGGAATATTTTAAACTCTGAAAAGATTCTCCTATGTGAATCTTGACGTTCTTCTTGCCCTCCCACGGAAATCCAATTCCCAATTTCCGGGATTCCTCGACTGTCTTAAATAATACTCTGTCCTTCAAAAACGTAAACATAACCTTCTAGTTCACTCTCTTCTCGTCGTTTCCTCAACTAATCGGTTAATAGCCCCTTTTTTCAGCTTGTTTTGTTTTTTTTTCCTTTTCAGGATACTTTCACGTAGGTTCTGAAACCATTCAGGTGGAATAATTAAGGAACGTTTTTTTTATACTACGAACGTTTTCTTATTTTTCAAACATCTATCCCATCTTTTTCACACTATTCTAAAACTTCCCAATTGTTTTGAGAACAAAAAATTAAAAGTTGAAATTCCAAAGTTTTAATGAGTAGGTACTGCAAACTCTAATGAACTTTCATTAAGATCAATAGTTCCAATTAAATTATTAAATTATATGCTTCGAGGAGGCGTTTAGTCATTCTAGGAACTTCTCAATTCGAAACTTCGAAAGTCTATGCATTAGCTATTTTCAGGATATCCGGATAAGTTCTGGCGTTTAATATTGGACTCGGATTCTTCTATGATTTAAATTCCTGTTTTACAGAAATCAAAACTTCAGATGAGCATCACCTGATATCATTGATTCTATCAGGAAGTTTCCACGCACTTTCTTCGGATTCCTCGTTTTCGTCACCCACTTTTTGATTTGCAAAATGTTTGAATTTCGACGACTTCTGTTTCTTCTTTGTCCCTTTTTTCGTTTCATCTTCTTTCTATGTTCTTCTTTTTCTTTTCCTGAACTCTTGTTCTCTTTCGTCTGCTATTTTTTTTATTGTGTGCGTGTCTTCAGCTCGCCAGGAGAGTATAAACACCTAATTAGTGTTCGGAACATTGAAAAATTCCACACAGAATGTGAATTTGATGACTCTTCTCGGGAGCTCATATAGAATTCAGTGGGTGGGGCTACCCAAAAAAGCCACATACAAATTTCAAAGCAACTCTTTCTATCTTTGGTATATGTTTCTTCGAACTCACTCCTCGTCTTTTCAGTTTCAAGATTAATTAATATCCATCTTTGATCATCTAGAAATTAGATACACCCTCTAATTTTCAACCCAATTTGGATCTCTGTTTTTGTGTTTTTATCTTGCAAATGTTCCGAGATGAAATTCAACTCAAAAAACATAGGCAAAAAGTTTTTTTAAAGTTTCCGGATTGTTTTTTTCAATTTCAAAACTCTGAGCTTTGAGTTCTAAATTCAGTACCTCTATGATATCATTAATTGCTTTGCTAATTGTGTTTTTCTTGCCGTTCATATTTGTGTTCGTCAAAGAAAATATAGATATTTGATCCTTCCAATATTCAGTAACTTTCAATATAAGATTATTTGAAAAAGCTTGTTTGGAATGATTATTTAGGTGTCCGGTGTAGTCTCGAACGTTAATTTTCAATTATTTGTACTTTGTTAATCTCGATTATCAGTTATTTATGAGTCAGTTTATTAGATTTTCAAGTAACTCTTCAAAATATTTTCCATAATTGTCGGGGTCCACGATAAAACGTACTTTCTGAGTATATGACTAAATTCCATTCATCCCGACGTTCCAGTTAGGGATTCTGCGTAAATACCTGCAAATAAGAGGAAAAGAGAGTCCCTTGTCTCTTATCCACAAAAAAAGAAGCAACAGAAGCGAAAATCGGAAGAAAAAAATAAGACGAAGGCTCGCAAAAACAAACCCAATTGGTAGGAGTGAGTAATAGGAAAAATTGAGCGCGGTATTCTGAAATTGAACGTGTGAAATGTGTATTTTCATCTTCTTTCCTTACTTTTTTCCAAATTCAGATTCTCGTGGAGTTGTCAGACATCATTCGTGACTTCAATACATCCCAGTAGTAGTATTCCGAGAACACAAAGCCTCTATTGGGATGATATCTTTCATTAGTAGGTGCTTTGAATTAGATAACGGTGTGAACTTCTACTTGTGTTGAGCGCATTTCCTTCTTTTGGGTTTTTTGTTCTGCGAAAATACCATAACACTTCTATTTGAAGGGCCCCTTTAGTACAAGGACCCATCTCATAGGAAGGCCTTCCGGAGGTGTCTTGGAAAAATAGGAGAACCGGCTCTTTTAATACAGGTTTTACGGTAGTTTTTTCTTATGCTCAACTGAGATTTTTGAGAACGAAATTCGGCATTTTTTTTCGGTCTCATGCGAAATTCGAAATTCGGAAATCTATTTCCGTTCAACACTGACTTTCACTAATGAAACAAAAAAAACAGAACTTTGTAATGAGCATACTATTCTGGTTTTATAGTTTCTTGAAACTTCTGTTTTAGTTTTTACCCTACATCATGCTGAAACTCTTTTGAAAAAGAAAAATACGTTTTCTCTCCTTGTTTCTCTTTTTCTGCACTTAATTCTACAGTTTATGAACCATTTCAACACCTCATAACTCTTCACTCTCCATCTCCCTTCCGTTTTTCTTTTTTCCCATTCTTGTTCTTTCTTGAAATTCAAAATCTCAGAGTTTTCTCCATGTGATGTTTTGTTTCTTCTTCTGAAACAGTTTCCCAGATGTATTTTTTCAATGATTCTGATCATAGAATGTTACCGGAAAGTCAGTTCATTCAAAGCGAACGTTTGCTCTTTGAATTATTGTTTTCGTCCTATTTTCCCTATCTTATGTTTATTTTTTGTATCCGAACCAAATTGTCTTCCTTCAGATGACGTCATTAGCTTCTACAATACCTCCTATGGCATCAGATCTACAGGTTAAAAATCAAATGATGGCAGACGATGAAGCAGAAGCAGGCTTTCATTTCGACGTCTACATTTACATTTTGCCATTGATCGTTATTTTTGGACTGTCTGGAAACGTTATCTCCCTTGTTACCATATTCCATTCTAGACTGAGAAGGGTAAGTGTCTACAGTTTGTTGTCTTTGAGATCTCTGATTTCACATTTCACTATGAAAATATTAATTTTAGGTAAATGCCAACATCTATCTGATAGTTCTGACCACGGCTGACAGCTTTTTCCTAATTGGAATCCTGCTGGTTTGCTTTAAAGTCGATTGGATCGGATATGAATACTGTGTTGGATTGGAATATGTTCTAATGACAGCTTCATACATTTCCAGTTGGTCAACAGCTGCTCTCCGATCGAAAGATATTTGGCGATTGCACATCCATTAGCTCATATGAAGGTGGCTCATTTCCTTTTTGCTTTATGATTTACATTTTTTCAGTACGGACATGTGGATCGAGCAAAAATCATGTTCTATTGGGTTCCGATTCCATTCGTTCTTCAACTGTTCCAGTTCATTTCACTTGAACCATCGAACGAAGAGAGAAAATGTGCACTAAAAGAAGCAAACTATCAGATCATCGCTCAAGCTGTGGATACAATTCTTTGCTACGTTATACCGTGTTGCATAATTGTTGTTTTGAATATTCTCGTCGCCCTTCAAGTTCGTAAATCTCAGGAGCATTTCATGGAAGACACGAAAAAGAATAGTTCAAGAAGGACTGGTGGATCCTCTTCTTCTTCTGGAACCTGGACTAGAATTCTATGGGTGATGCCGTTAGTGTTCGTAGTTCTGAACACGCCATTCTATGTCATCATGATGATTGAGATAGTATTTCAAATCATATATCAGTCTCCGCCTTCAGAAGCTACTCGGTCTGATACTTTCATGGTTAGTTGAAAAATTGGTTTCCTATTAGCAACAAGATGAAGTTCAGGGTGTTTATAACACGGCTCATTATATGTACTATATGAACACAGCAATCGACGTTATTGTCTACGCATTTTCTAGGTGAGGCATTTTATACTATTTCAGTCAAAATCGTGTTAATATTCAGCGCAAACTTCCGAAAGACTGCCGTCATAGCTTGGAAAAGAATTATTTGTCCTGGCTACGCGGAGAAACAAAAGGGAAAGGTAAATCTTCAAGATTTCATACTAACCAAATTTTCATATATATATTTGTTTCTAATTTAATAATTTTCGCCCACTCTATCAATGATTCATATTCTCTATATATTTTTCCCTACTGATTTAATACCATAATCCCATCACTATTCAATTTCAAACTCAATTTCAACTGTCCATTGCTATATTTTAACAGCTCTTTCTTCTCTCCGTCCTCCGTTCGATCGGTGATTTTTTCCGGAAGAGAATTCCACGTCACCGAGCTGTCCCACTTACAGTAAGACGGAATGGAAACTCTATCTCTTGTAGATGTTTTCCTTTTCTTCTACCTGCATCTCTTGCACTCACTCACAAAACATATTGGTTTGCCACGCGTTTCAAGCACTGTGTTATGTCCTTCACACTCACTTTCACTTACATCGCATGTGCTGAACTACCATCTGAATTGTGTCACTTTTCCTCCAGTGTTATGAGTTCACCTGTTATGTTTATATAGTATCCCGTTGTCGAAAAATGAGTAAAATACTTTACCACATTTTTGATTGAATGCCCCAAACCGCCAACTTTGTGCTGATAGATCTCATTTTCTTTGAGAGATATTAAAAATTGGTGCACTGAAAAAATGTTTAGCATAATACCAAAAATATTTTGTCAGTCGAACACTTTTTGGTACTTTCAGGGTTTTGAATTTTTGAATTATTGAAATTTGGAAGTCTAACTTTGTAGAACTTTGTACAGACTTTGTAAAAAAAAATTTAATTCTGACTCTCAAAGTTTCAATGTTTTCCAGTTTCCCATGAGTTTCAGATTTTTGGAATTCTCTGGATTTTCGACATTCCAAATTCCCAGAATTTTATTTGTCAGAGGTTCCAGGTTTGCAGAGCATAAATTTTTGCAGAGCAGAAAGGTTTGCAGAGCAGAATATCTGAAATTTCGGATTTTCTGGAAATTCAAATTTTCCAGGATTTCGGAACTTCTGAATATTGGAACTTATTGGAATTTTCCGGATCTTTAAATTTTTTTGAATTAAAATTTTTTGAATTTTTCAGAAATTGAGGTTTTCAGAACTTTGGAATTTCGAAGTTTAAAAAAAGGAACCGAGATAAATTGGCTCAAAGTTGAAAGTTAGGCGGGGTCATTCTATTATTGTGTTCACAGTATAAAATCTGGGTGGTGTGCACACTTTTGAGAAAACAATATTTGAAAAAAAAGGTTCGGACACAATCAGAAGTTAAGTATAGGAGCTAAGTGTTCTAAAATATTTGAAACCTCATAAATAATATCGTTTTGAGAACTTTTTGCAATTGACCCAGATGATACTAAATCTTTTAGAGACATTAATGAAGTTTTATTTAGCAAGAAAAAACATTAAAAAGTGAATGTATGGTTCGTGTTATGTATTGTTGGGAAATTCCACGAATTCCTTCATTGATTCTCCAATTTTCAGGTCCTTGTCACCGATCAAACATCTCGAATCTCGTATCGAATGACATCTGAAAGAAGTACCGTCCGTTTCCCGAATCCTCCATCTCGAGCTGGATCCCCAAAACTTGCTGCTACGAATGCCGTTTCTGTACCCCTTCTAAGTACCGAAGTCCAAGGACAAGTCCAAGAATCAACAGCGATTTGAATATCCCATCATCGGGAAACCTTGCAATATTCATGTTCATTTCCAAGTGGCATTTTCAATATCAATTTCTCAATTTGTCCTCCTTATCGAATGAATCGCCGTTTATCCCTCGGGTGGATTCTCCTGCTCCATTTCTATTTCTAGTCGCATAATTTGGAACTATTCTTTGCTTTTCTTCACGAGTTTGTGTATGTAATTACAATACTAATAAAATTATTAAAAACCTGTCTTATTATATACAAACATCACAGTAAAAAATATATTAAAACAACACAACGAAAAAGGAAAGAGAGCCCGTAGAAATAATAATTACTTTGTGAAAGGAAGAATAACCACAATTCGGAGAGGGGGGAGATGGAGGAGAAAAGCGGAATGATGTGAAAAGCAAAGAAGAAAGATAATTGACAAATATATTAGGCCGGTGCGATTCCCAGATATTTAGCGACAAATACACGGATCACAGATGTCATGTGATCGATTGTTGGATAGTGAAGAGCATTGCCATTGTCCGAAACACGATGCCAGACAGATGGGAAAGGAACGGTGATTAGATGAAGAATTGGTACACCTTGAAAATGATTCGTTAGATACAACGGGGATTTTTTTGGTATCTATACCTCTTTTCAAGAACGGAATATGATCATCTTCGACTTGGTTATACGACAACTGCTTGTTGAAAACATTTCGCCTCAATGAGCTCAAGCAACCAGATGTTCGAAGATTCGATTCAACATCAGCTAACTGACTGAAAAGCTCAGTGGCTCCCATTCCAATCGTATTTCCAATCGATGGATTTGCGGCTCCAAGAAGATCGAGAAGCATCAGAACATCCTGCAATAACAATTGTAAATTTTTGTCATGATTCAAACTGTGTCTTACGATTCTGTCTATTTCTTTGCTGAGTTCAAAGTTATTGAGACTGCTGGAAGATGGATACCATTTTTGCTCCCATTTTTGAGCCAAGTGTCTGAAAATTTATCAGTTTTGTTTGTACTTTCAACATAGAGGTACCTTGATCCATATAGAGAATCCGTCGCAGTCCAATCACGGAATGCCTCCTCACCATCGAAGAAAATCAATTGGAGCCCTATTTGTTGAGCTACACGTTTGTACATGTATGGAGCAAGAGTCTGTGCAATATCGAGCATCATTGCACATGGAACAGCAGAGTCGGTTGCAGCAATCATTATTTGACCCGGTATTATTTTGGAGTCGTAATGGCAGGCAAGTACAAGACGACGTGGAGCATTTTCGTCGAACGTAGCAATTAGGTTTCGGAAGTTTCGAGTACCCAACGGTGTTGTGTCCGTGAAAGCATCCCATTCTGTGGCGAATCCCAAGTTATGAAGAAATTCTTGTAGATACTAAAACCAGTACAAAAAAAATCGTATTTTTCTAAATAGAAGAAAACTCACATCTCCAACTTTTCTATGTTGAGGAGTATCCACAACACGTGGTACCATTAATGGTGCCAAAATTTCTTTGAATCTTGTCTGATTGGTAAAATCTCTACATAATCTCAATGTTGAAGATTCAGGAAGCAGAGAAAGCTGATGGGTCCTTTGATTCGTCCTCCACTGGCCCCATGCAGAAGTTGTACAAATTAGAATACCTAGTACAACGAAAAGAGCCATCAGAATAAATATAAGTTTCCAGTTGTATCGGACGACCTGAAAATGACATAAATGAAAAAAAAACATCGAGGAAGTTGAAAAGGAGGGAGTATTGTTTTGACACATATCATTTTAGATTCTGACGTTATTTTGTAACCAGAAGAAGTACTTTTAATGAAAACTGAAGTCAATTCTGAGAACTCGGCTCATGATGAAAATCGATAACGAAAGCCAAGCTCCGGGGAAAAAGGTGTGTCAATAGAAGAGCTAAATCGGAACTGACTCTATTAGAAAAATGTGAACAAACGAAGAGGGTGAGAAAGCTAGAAAAGCGCACCGGAGAGCGAGGTGAAAAGAACTTTTGCATTGAAAATGATGTGTTGATCAGGAGGAGGACAATAAAAAAGTGGAAGAGTGAATGGGTCAGAAAAATAAGAGGAAATGTTTGGAAATGTTGTTTCATCTTGTTTCTGGAATCCCACTGCGTTGAATCAAAGAAAAACTTACATACATATTATTCTGGTACAAAAATCGGAGATGTGGAGGAGAAACTATGGTGGCCGCGGCCGAAGTCCCCTACTACAGTAACCTTGAAGTATATTTCAATTTTCCAGATTTATTATCTAGATCTAGATTTTCGTTCATTTGCAGTCAATTTTTCGCAAAAGAAAAACACCAGAAAAAAATCGACGAAAATCAGTAAAAGCAAGAAAATAAATCCGGAGAATGAGAGTATTTTTAGGTTACGGTAGCTGTCGCTGTGGGATCTTCAGCAACGGCCACTCTTCCACATCCCCTTTTTTGTGTGCCAGAAAAAATAAAACTTTAGATTTTTAATCAAGAATCGAATTTTAATTATCCAAATCCTTTTTTTTCAAATTGATTCCTTTACTAAAGCCACAGAAAATCTATACGACTGTCATACGAACAATAAATATTGCTATCCGCTCTGTTCATCCAAAATCAAACATGCAATATCGATGAAACATGTATGGCCAACTCGATTCTCGACAATACAACAAAAAACTAGCCAACTGTATCGGGGGAGAAAAAACGGCAACTACTATCAGAAAAAAGGGATAGACGCAGTGAATTTCAGTGCGAATTGTTTGATTCCGGTCTTCGCACAGAAGACGTCATTTAGATTCATCTTGAGAAGTTGCAAATTTGATCAGTAGCGAACTATTTAGGAAAAATGAAACGATACCTGATTAGTTAAATTGAAGCTATTTTAAATTACAGTTTTAATTTCATGAATGAAAAAAATAATTAGAAAGGGAAAGCGTATCATTAGAAGATAAATCGTACTTTCACTATTTTCTTTCTTCGAGAAGACAACGTCTTGCAGTCTCCTTCGGGGCGATTATCACTCCAGAAGTGTCCGCCCACTCGTCTATTCTCACTAATCTCTTTCTCTCCGCGGCTATTATTTTTCAGAATACATTAGAGAGTTCAGCAAACTTTTATTATTCTTACCTGCATTACTACCACGTCTTCAGTAATCCTTTGCTTGAGGATTGTGACGTCACCGACTCTACTTCTCCTCCTTCTCCACCCTCTTGTTTCGGGGTACCCGTCGACGTGGCTCAAAAAGGAGAGATTTAGTATGAGGGATATTTACTGGGGTTTCAATAGCCAAACAATTGTAATCCACTACATATTTGGTCATGTATACGAGACGCACAAAAAAAAAGAGACGCAGGAAGACAGAAGCTTCCAAAAAACATGGAACGAATCAAACCTGCGTCTCCCCGACATACCGATGACCTTTTCTTGGCAACATCGACCCAGATTAGCGAAATCTAATGAAAAGAAAAAGAAAGAAAAGTGAATTTGATAAAGCCTTCTCCGCGATTTTTCAACACGCGTTCGATTGAGTGGGAACATGAATAGGGAAAGACAATTTATGATTTTATGATGGGAACTGACTGAAAAAAAGGAACAGACAATAAACAGTTGATACGTTTTTGGATAAGGCGGAATTGGAAACAACAAAAATCAACAAAGAAAGTGTGTATGAGGAAATTGACTGTCATATACCGGCTCTGGACAACTCTAATTTTACTATAAAATAACGGGGTTTAAACTATAAAATAACAATAAAAAAACTACAATCCTATTTGTTACTTAAGAAAAATATAAAGACGGCACAAGGGGAGAGTGAGAAAAGCGCTGGGAAGAGAGTCAGAGTATCATATCATCTGATGAAGAGTTGGTGAGAAGTTAGGCGGAAGCATGTCTTCTGAAACCGAAAAGTCTTCCAGAATATCGCTTGAGCATCGAGCTATCGTCAGGTTGTTGTTTCTTTTGCTCTTCCTGTTGAGCCAAATAAACTGCTCGTCGGCGGAACTCCTTGGCTGGATCGTCGTATTGTGAGTAGTATTGAAGCATTGGACGAACATCTTCAGCATCCGACAGATGGATCGCTACAATTAGAAAGTTTCCATACAAAATACCCGAATTCTTCAACCCACTTTTAAGCAGCTCTGCTAAGTCAACAAGACTGGTGTCATCCATATTTCCTCTCCATTCTGGTACGCGAAGCATGTTCTCTGGATTCAATTGTCCTGATTTTGCGTCGAAGTCAATGTAGATGACTTTGGACAAATCACGGTTCAATTTGGAAAGATCCTGGAAAAAATGAATTTATGATACGAAATGGAATAGGCAATCTACCTTAACATGATGCCCGTTCATGTATTTTGTGCAATCTCTGAACAGTTTGTACATGATTCTCTGTTTTTGATCAAAGCTGTCTACAACTGGTGCAGCAGTCATCATAGATTCAGACGAGTAAATGACAACTTCGAAGTTTGGATATCCGATGACATCAAGGAAATAATCGAGAGCCGGGCGCTTCAAGAAACGATATCCGGTCTTGTACGTCCATTCAGGATGGACAAGAATGTTTTTGAGTTCGATAACAATTGTGTATTTTGGTTGGAGGTATGGAGCTGGCAATGGATCTGGGAGCAGTTGTTCGCGGGCAGGCTCGACGACGTACTGAAAATAAAACACATCAATGATTCTAGGTTAAATGATAAAATTACATCTTTCCACAGTTTGAAGCTGTTGGCAATTCGGTAAAATGGTGCCAAGAAAGATCCACTGAATTCGTCTGCGATTACATTTCCAGCTTCGTCTCTTTGGGCTCTTCCGTAGTAGAAGCAGAAAGAGATAAAACCAATGACGGATCCTCCTAAAAGAACATATCCTCCGATCCGTGTGTTTCTTTCCATTCTCTTCCGACGAGCCTCAACTTCTTCAGCATTGCCAGGCTGCTGAAAAAATTTAGATCAGAGATCCCGATAAAAATAAAATACTCACATCATTATTATCGCCAGAGCTTCCGGAAGGAGCAGATGTCTTGGACGCAGCGGCTTCTTCTAGTTTACTCAAAGAGTCTTTCAAGGAATTCAGCTCGTCGATTGCAGAAGGAGGTGTTGCTGGTGCCGGAGAAGAAGCTACCTTCTCCGTTTCGATTTTGGTAGCTTCCTTCAAAAAATAAACGTTTAAGACTATATTTTTGGAATAATAACTTACCACTTCCACTTTCTCTACTCTTGGAGCTTCTTCAACTTCTGGTTTGAATGCTACTGCTTCGGGAGTCTCGTTGATGGGTACTTTTATACTAGCGAATACATTTCCGTGCTGAAATCTTGATTTTTATTACATTCTATCTCTTTCACACATTGTTCACATTTATTGGGACGATTGGTGCTGCAAATTTATTACGTCCACTGTCAGCGTATGGGTTTGGAACTCGTGGTGGCCCAAGAAGGGATTGGAAATCTGAATTCAGCAGGTAATTCGTTTGATTTTGCATGTTCATACCTGAACTAGAAAATCTGATAAATGTTCTAGCATGGTGTCGACTGAAGCACTTCTGACTCAACTTGCTCAGCGACATTTTTACCCTTAAAATTAATTAGGAACACTTATGATGGGCAATGATGCAATATAGAGCGAAGTGAGACATTAGGATAAGCTTTATATGGGAAGTTAACTATCAACTAGCTATTTTTTGAGTATAAATCAGGTGATAAGGCATCAAAAGTACTTAAATTTTACAAAAAACGTGAATTTTTACATTTTGGCCGGAGTCGTAGGATTTACGATAAACAGCATGCACATCGGGATAGCGAAGTGTCGTTGCAAAAATATTTTTCACACAACAAAAGAATCTCTGCATTTCATCGCTGGATAAGAAAAATGAACAATTTTATTAGAATACAAATAAATTTGTTGATAAATCAATCATCTACAATTCGAGTTTGGATATGAACGAATAGTCGATTTGAAATCGCAACACAATAGTGGCAAGATAAGGTTTGGTTGTAAATATAATATGTAAGAATGTATATTAACAAGAAATGAAGCAATAGATTCCGTTATCAATTAGTAAAATATGAAATTAGGTTACATAGAACTCCTATTCTCTCAGACGATGTCAGAGGGTTCCTTTTTGTTCAAGGAAGACCTGCTGGAGTGAATTGTGGAATACTGGTTTGGGACCGCTGTATCATTACTCTGGATATCAATGGCACGGAAAGGTCGAGACTCGATGAGCTTCAAGTGCATCGCGTAAAAGTAGACGATATCGTGCATTACTGCACAGAAGAGAAGAAGACCGAGCATGTTCAACGAAATGTCCACTGAAAAATGAAACAAGCTTAGAAGACAGATTAGCGGAAACACACTAATTGTGATTTTCTCGTCAATCAGTTGCTTCACTTTAAGCACAAAAAGCACCAAAGTTCCGTTGGTAGCCATCACAGACAGGAAGATGTAGAGAGGCATGAAGAGGCGACGGTAAAGGAAAACTCCAGAGAAGAGAATGGCAAGGAGCACCAACCATTGCACAATCACGACACGGGTAAGGAATGCTTCATCTGAAAAATGAATGTTCGAATGGTTTTATCACTTCGAAACGAACCGAAAACATTATTCCTGGATCTCGGTGCATAATTTCCATACTGGAGTAGAAAGCATGTTGCGTAGAAGGAAACTGTCACGATTGCTATGAGAACATAAAGAGCAGCTGCGCCAGGAGAATGTTTGATCCATTCCAATTCCAAACCATCAATCGCATTGCGTTCCACAAACACCGTCAGAGGCTGGAAAATTGAAAATTGAGAGAATATTAATTATTAGAAACTAACCTTCTCGGACTGAACAACTGATTTGCAAGGAGGAATATAAAAATAGCTGTGCTCCGCATCGCATACTGAATACTTTTTAGAAGCAGGAGTTGTGAAAATGGTATGATTAGTTGGGATAGAAGAAGACGTGGGGTTAGACATTCCTGCAGAAGCGATTGGGGAACGAATGCGAACGGAGAACAAATTTGGAACAAAAAATAGTGAATTCGGTTGTTACCGGGGAATAAGTAGGTCAGCGTTATGGGTAGATCAAAAACTTTTTTGGTACAAACATTTCGAGGAGATCATGAGCTTCTCATGATATATCACCATGATAAGAAGCACTTTCTCCTCACTCTTATTTCATGTTTGCATCCTCAAAAATTATAGATCCCGTATTTTTCTCAGAAGTTCAATTCAGAGCTTTCGCTTTGAAAAAAAAAGAGATCGTCAACTTTGATATCAATTATCTCGATTCCTGTAAAAGATATCAACATTTTGTCAACAGATAAAGTATTGGTGATATTATGATAAATAATTTATCAGTTGACAGAGTCTTGATATCTTGTACAGGAATCGAGATATTGGAGCTCAAAGTTGACAGTATTGGTGGGATTCTATTAGAGGGAATACGGTGAGGGGAAGATTTGTGCTCCTGGTGCTTCAACGGTCAGAAGACAGAAGTAACTTCTAGAAGTGAATAGCCCACATCGAACGTTATGATGTAATACTGTAGTAGTTCAAAGCTTGTAGTCCACACAATACCACAAAATAGGCATTATGTATCAGTGAAGTCTTACAAAAAATTCTTCAATGGTCCGTTTGGCTGAAAGTGATTTTCCTTCGTCTCAGCGGAAGATTACTGTGCTTTCTAGCAATTGATACCGTAATCATATTCCCGCTTTTACATCAGTTTTTTTCAAACACAAAATTCAATTACAATGCCCGTTCAGTTTCAATCACCCAATCCATACATCTTCCTCATTTAACCGTTTGACGACGTTTCCTTCCCACATATTTTCATCCATGCCACCAGAGCAATTTTAAGAAAATTGCTAGAGTGCTCCCTGATTTATATCCTATTTTCTTTTTTATTCTTCTTCTTCTTCCTTACATTCTGCTTTCTTCTCATTGCTTCCTTCGCAATATCCTTTCCAATTGTGGGAATAGGAAGTGTGCGCAAAACGAAGAAGAAGAAGAAGAAGAAGAAGACAAAAACGAAGAGTGTGAGTGTGCGCTTTTCTGGTGACGTGGCGTTCTGAGGAAGAACGAGATTTAGAGAAATATGAAGAAGGCCAGTGCTCATAAATTTCAGTTGGGAGGCGGCGATGCGAGCCACGCTGTCATTACGTACCGTATGCCCGATGCTCCTCCTAATGCTCCTCTCCTCCTTTTTTTTCGTTAGTTGGGCGGCCCCAGACGGGCCAGCAGTCACACGAACTCATTTTCTCCTTTTTACTTCCTTGCTTCAAAATCCCTTTTGGGGACGATGAGAAAGAATAGTTCCATCCTAAGATGATGTTCTTCAATGTTCTAGTTTCTCTTCTTGAGTGAGATTAGTATTGAGTTTTTCCTTTTTTGTGATGTTTTATCTCTGAAAGACTGAAACTGTGAGAATCTGAAGTTCACTTATATAAAATTTGATGCTCTCAAAAGCTATTCAGTAGGTACCGGAAGGCTTTTAGAATCATAATAAAATTCTTAATCAAGACTACACTATCGTAAAACCTGTTATCTATCATAATATCAAAAATCTTTTGTCAGTTGACACACTTGTAATAGCTTGCATAGGAATTAAGATAATAGAGCTCAAACATGACAAAGCTGTAAGTTTAGACTACCGTAAAACCTGTAAGAGAAGGGTCCCCACACTACAATGTTTAAGCGCAGTTAACTCAATTCTTATGCATGATATCAAAAATGTGTCAACTGACCAAACACTTCTGATATTATGATAAGCAATATATCAGTTGATAACTTTTTAATATTTTTGACAGGAGCCGAGATAAATTGGCTCTTAGTTAAAAGTTAGGGGCCCTTTCTATTACAGGTATTACGGTACATACGTTCTCTCTTTATTACTGATCAAGTCATTTGCATAAGGACTGATGAAACTTTTGAATCCTAGATCCGGCTACTCAACTACCAATTTTCATTTTCAGGTGATGCCATCTATCCAATTCAAATCCGCTGCTTCTGCCAAAGGAGGTGACGCTCAGAAGGTACAACTTTTCGTTTCCCTGTCTTTTTTGTTTTGATTATAAGGTGTCAAAGATTTTTCTAACTACATCCCTGATGCAAATTTTTGTCCTCGTTACAGTGTTCATTTACAGGAGGTCGCTATCGTCGAGCCAACCAATCCATTCTTCGTTCCAGAAGAGGATGAGGGATATATTATCCCGAAGCCTCAATTTCGCAAGAACAGATTCAACATTCGGATTCTATGGATTGAAAAAACGAATTCTCAATGGAAGTTCTCTGTCTTCGTGATGTTGTTGCTCACCGCGTACTACTCTACTTGCTTTCTTGCCGAGTATGATACGAGCCATCATTTCGATGGGCTCAAGAAGATCCCAGCGTTCTCGGAGCCAGTTTTGACTCGCGTCATAATGGCTGAGTGGTTGGTGCTCGCTTTCATCCTCATTTTCGGAGTTCTCTTCTTCCGTCGCATCGTTATGCCACTCTACATCTACCTCGCCGTTATGGCTACCAACGGAACTCTGGCTTTGTTTGTCGTCAAATGCAAGCAATTCCATTTGGGGATCATTCAACATGGTGAATCGAATATTTCAATTTGTTTTGCAAATCATTGATTTTTCAGATGACATCGCTTTCAATTTGGTTGGAATCCTCCTCTTCACCGCTCTCATCCATAACTTTGTCTACATGTACGCACTCTATCTTCATCTCCGTCTCAACTGGCCAGGTCGCTACCGTGCTTCCACAAACCCATCCGATGTTTCTCCAGCTCAGGAGAAGAAAGATCTCGGCGCTCTTCCATGAATGGACACCTTTAGATGTGCCCATATCTTTTTCTTCCGCCTAGTTTGCTTCGAAAAATGTGTGACATGATTTCATTCAAAAACTCTGTATCTTCCTTCATAATTTTCGATCTCCATTAACCCCTGAACCGATGTAACAATGATTTAATGTTTCCATGTTCCCAATCTGAACCAAATGTTTTTTCTCTGTCCACAATTTCCGCTTTTTAGTTCTGCTTTCTGAATAGAGTTTTTAAAATGTGTTTTGTTTTTATTCACTTGGATTTCAGTAAGCTTTCTGAAAAAAAGTGTCAGTCTGTAATTGGATTTCAGTGCGTATCTTTACATTGGTGCTTTACAGCCATATTATTTTTTGCTTCTTATACCGTAGAACCTGTAATAGAAGGGCAGCCTAACGTTTAACTTTGAGCCAATTTTCCTTGATTCCTGTCGAAGATATAAAAAGTTGTCAACTGGTAAGTTGTAATAAATTTATTATAATATCAGAAATGTTCTGTCAGTTGACACTTATTTGATATCATGCATAGGAGCCAAGGAAAATGAGTTCAAACTTGACAGTATGGGAGCCATTCTATTACGAGTTTTACAGTAGTTTTGTTTTTACAATTAGGTTTGGAAAAGATTTCTGACGAATTCAATCTTTTGGAATTCTGAAAGTTAGATATTAAAAAGAAATCAACTTCATCGAAACAAAAAACCAATTTCCGACCCAATCAGTTTCTTTTACAATGAACTTCTGAAAACAGTTGTTATGAATGAGGAAACTGAAGAAGCAACACGTTCCTCTCGCAATCACTTTCTCCCTCTCCTCTACTCACTCCACCACGCAAGAAATTTTATTTTAGAATCGAATCAAAACTAGATCATGAGGTTTTGAGGCTTGTGGCAAGGTGGACGGATGAGGAAGAAAAAAGAAGACGAGGAAGACACAAAAAATTGTGCGACTAAAAAAACTAAATTGCGTAAGAGAATGAAAAGATTAGAGATGTTGCCTAACAGATGGTAGTCCTAGATAGATATCGAATGAACACCTCCTCCCACAACCATCAACGTGCATAATTTCATTGGTCAATAGCAGCGTCATGAACGTCTACATGTCTAGGAATCGGTTCGGCATTCAGTGTACTTATTTCTCGAGTACTGGTTGGCTAACTACTCAATCTTCAACAGCTTTTCTCTCACCTCTTCGTTCCCGAGACACTCAATTTCAATATGTTCGATCTTCTCGACGTTGACTTCGGAATACTGAAAAAAACTTGCCATTGTTTCGTTTAGATTTTTTTTTCTCTTTTCGTCTCTTGTGTCTCCTAGAACTTTGTAACTTTACAACCAAAATCTCTCAAAAATTATCACAACGAGGGAGGTAGAAGATAGAAAGTGGGGGCCGAAATGAACTGTAATCTACGGCGCGAGGCGGAGATGCAAAAAAAGAGGAAGTATCATCATCGTCATTATTTTTATTTCGATTTAAGCTTTCTCACACTCTGTGAAGCATAACTGATTCGGTACAATTCCCAATAACAACTTTCAAATTTTTTCAGGTCATGGTCTATTTATCCCTTTTCTTGTCCACTCTCTTCATTAGCCTCACATTTGGATGCTTCTGTCCGTAAGTCTGAATTTTCTACTACTAAATTGTTATATTGATTCCTCCACTATACTTTGGCAACTTTCCAGATCACTAATCAGCCCGTCTTGTGGTTGTGGTGGAGGTGGATATAATTCCTATGCTGGTGGTGGATATGGAGGAGGATATCAGGGAGCATACAGCGGTGGAGCTATGCCTGGACAAGCTGTTTTCTACAGAGATTTGACTCCATTCAGACAGCCTTACTATCCACAACAACCATCTTATCCACAGGTGAGAAGCTAGCCGAAAGTGTACAACGGAATAGATTAACCAACATGATAAGATTATCTGTCAAAACCTGTGGCAATACTTTACTGCATTTCTCATTGTCAGAACGACGTTCTATTCATTCGAAATAATCAAAGACCTACAAAAAAATATATTTAAGCAGTACTACCCTCAAGGCCCATCTCAACCTCTTCCACCTATGTACCAACTTCCAAATCCAAGATACCTTCAACCACAGGCTCCTCGCCCTCAACCGCAATACATTCCAAGACCAGCACCTCAACCAGCTCCATACCGTTCAGCTATTGTTCAAGAGAAACAAGTGTATACCCAACCTGCTGCTCCAGTTGCTCCACTCGCCGAAACTCATAAAGTGACTCTACATGATAACGGATATGGCGAGGAAGTGGCAACTACCACTTACACTCCAGCTATAGTCACTGAGGCTCCTGCAGTGGATGAGGTTCCGGATTTCGATGAGACTCCCGTGAAGAAGGAGAAGGAAGAATTCTATTATGTATACTATGATGACAAGGGAAAAAAGGTTGGAGACTCCAGATCGGGTACCACTTTTGCCCCAGAAAACGTGATTGTTGAGGAAGAAACCACCGTAGCTCCAGCACCAGCTCCTGTTCATGTCGAAGTTACGGTAAGTTGAAGAGTTAAGACAAACTGGGAATAATGACTGAGCGAAAAACAGACCGAACGAGTTGAAGTCAACGAGAATTACGATGACATCGTCGAAGAGACACAAGTTCCAGCCCGAACTTCTTTAGCTCCAAGCTACACTCCAGAAGTTGTCACAAGCACCACTGTTATCTTCGAGGTACGAAGAGAAGGAGCACCAACTGTAGCACCGGCTTCCAATGATAATGCCGAAGGTAAGCAAATCTCATTTTCTCCACAAAAAACAATCAAGTTGTTTCAGTGATTTATGAAGACGAAACTGTTGAATATGAAGATGACGGGCATCACGAGGCCGCTGCTCCAGGCTCAGCCCCCAAGAAACCACAATCAGGAGAGTTCAAACGTACAGTTCAAGACAATCAGATCCTAGTCGATGCTGCTGAAACCACTGGAGAAGGTTACCGTAGTCGAAGTGTTGTCAGTGGAGTTCGAATTGTGAAACGATTCAGACACGATGAACGAAAGATCCATTCCAACTAAAACCATCCAGCCTTGTTCTCTTCTGATTTTTACTCAATTTCATTTCAGGTTCACTGTCATATTTGTACATTTTAGAGATCTGCTTGTTGACACACAGTTCACATAATAAACTTATCCATTTCCCTTTGACATTAATATATTTTCATGTTTCGGTTACAACGATAAGAGGTGACTGGTGATTCGATGCTTGATGCTTTTGCCTATCACCTTCCTTGTCATTAAATAATGACTCTCTTTGTCTGTGGTCTCATGATGTCACTAGTTTCTACTTGCAAGTCTGAAAGTCTGAAAAACATCACATGTTCATTAGTCAAAAAGCAGAATCTTTCGTGTTTTGAGTTTGATGCACGATCCCTTCTAGACCCACTTGATTTTTTATTTGATCAGTAGGTCTAATAAATTTATCGCCGGATGAATTTTCTTATATTGAACTTCGAGAAACCAATACTTTGAGAGTTTATTGAACAGTATTCTGAGTCATTATTTTCTTCCCTTCAGGTCTTACTTTTTGAGTCGAGCGAGCAAAAAAAAGTAACATAAAACTGACTCAGCTGACTTTCCGCCGATATTTGTACTTTCTTCATTGACCGGTTGTCTGGTTTTCTATTAGTGGCTCACTTTCTATTTACAGACAACTGTTGACTTGTCAACATCAGGAGCAGATAAAAACCAAGGGGAGGCTGGTTGAGAATGTCAGATGCTCTTCAAAATGAATTCTCAATTCGTCATATCCCTCGGATGCTTTTTTGCTTTGCTAGTTCCTGCTGGCGGACTTTTTAACTTTATCGGAACTGATCAGTATGTGGTTGTCACTGGAAGATTTTTCTGTGAAGGTATGCCTGCGTCAGATGTTCTTGTGAAGTTATACGAGGATGGAACTAGTGAGTTGACCCTTTTGGTTTTCAAGTAAAAGTTAAATTCAGTCTATGATACGAAACTCGACTCTACAAGAACATACCCGGATGGAACATTCCGAGTAGCTGGTCAATACACTAAGATTTTTGACATGGATCCAAAGATTAACATTTACCACAGCTGTAATCATTATGGAGTGCGTTTTGCGTTATCTGCAAAAAGTACGGAACATTTTCCAGCTCTGCGACAAGAAGATCACTATTGAAATTCCGCATGAAGCGATTTCGGATAGATTTGGCTATGACATGGATAACAGTTTCGATATTGGAACTTTGAATTTAGCTGACGGATTCAGTGGAGAGTCTAGCGATTGCATTCATTAATAATCTTTTTAATTGTAATGTAATGATCTCTTTAGTTTAATGAACATGTACTTATTGAAGTTCACTTGACATTTTTGCAAAGGAATTATTGAACCACTTTTTGTTTCAGGATCATAAGGATCGTAATGAAGTTATGCGATTCTTTTACTGATCAAGCTAATTTGAACCCTTTATTAGCTTCATTTTTGCGAGTTTTCATATTCATATTATATTTTGATTGGAGCAGAACTGGCGAATGAAACTATGAGGGAATATACCAGACAGTTCTAGGAAGTATTTATCATTTCAGGTTATGATAATAGTCTGGCATTTAACTTCCCAGACACCTCTACAAAAACAACCCGTGATGTTCTACCCCCTCAGTCTTCTGAATGCGTCAGAAAGTTTTGTAGAGACTACCAAGACAAAGACTTCATCTTACCTAATTGGCTCATTGCCCGTTGGGATTGTCTGGTCAGAACTGCACAGCACGAGTCGTCAAATACCTTCCTCTTCTTCTGGTTCATTTGCTCATTTTACTGATCGTTCACTCGGCCATGCTAACTGTTCAGTTTCTCATTACAACTGCTTATGGAGCAGCTTCGTTTTATCTTTACACATTGATTGTATACATGATGATCAAGAGATGGAGTGAATACAACACTACATTCTTCAAGCTTTTCATTATAGAATATTGCTTCGTAAGTCTCGAAATACCAAGAAAACATTAACAAGCAACCAGTTTTTTAGAATGTTGTGACTTTTCTCAACTCTTTCATCACACTTCGTGCTCCTCAGAATACTTGCAAGGATTGTATATTTTCGTTCCTTTTTGATCGTAATTCATCTCCAAATGAAGATAATTCCCCTCTTCAATACTTTTTCACTCTCCACTACGCAATGGCATACATACAGTATTCCATGACTTTTCTAGTTGCTCTGAATCGTCTATCAATGGTCCTATTAGTCAATTCTTATGAAAAGGTTAACGAGTTTGAAGGAGAGATGACTAATTATCCTAATTATTTCAGTTTTGGCGCCCTGCTCTTCCCGTATTTATATGTCTTGTGATTGCCTATCCATTCTTAGTGACACTACCGATTTCATCCAACAATGCCTACTATATCTATGTTCCAGGATTACTAGCCTATACTACAAAGTCTGTAACAGTAAGTTACTACTTTTGAGGTGTCGTCAAGTTTTCATTTTTCAGGATGTCACTGAAGTTCTGAGCAATCTCAAAAATTTTATGATCGGGATCACAGTTCTCACGACTATTGCCAACATTCTAGCCCTAATCCGCCTAAAATGTCTCCATTCTCGTATCAGTGGGGCAGAGAGAAACTTGTTCACTGTCAGCTTTGTCTCTCTAATTATACAACTTCTAGCACTAGCGGATACGGTAATTCAAATCAAGTGTTTTTTCTTCTCTTCATTAATCATATTTTCAGTTAGTTCTTTTTCTCTCTTCTGCTGACACAACGTCTGTCGGAACCCAGACAGCCAAAGTGCTAATGCCATTCGTCAGCGATTTATTGACTTTGAATCATCCTTGGACATTGATGTACTTTAGTACAAAGGTCAGATTTTGTTTTATTTTTTAGATTTCCAAACTTTCTGTTTTAGGTTCGAGTTTCAATGGCGAACGATCATTTTCCAAGCATGAGAAATCGAGTTAAAGATGCAAATACTCCAAGTTCTGTTTATTAAATGTCGTACTTTGATATTATTCCCAATCGTACAATACGGGTGCAAAGAATAAAAGTTAACTGTTTTCGTGAATAACATAATACTGAACAAAAAATTGACCATCTGATGCACTTTTCGAGCTAATATCAATACTGTCTCCATATTCTGGAGTACTCCATCCGAGTATTTGATCAACAGGTCTCACACTGAAACCGTTTGCGTCTCCCAGTTTCACAGAATTCACCGACACCGATGAATCATCTGCCAAAGAATCCGATTGCCTAGGAAGATAAATATTGTAAAAGAGAATATGTCCCTTGCACTCACATTGGCTCCAACAAAACTTCCGCTACTAGAAAATGAGTTGACTCTATCCATATTTATCAAAATGTTCCCATCTGGTCGGTTGTACGGTTTCATATAGAATCCAGTTTTTGTTGGAAAGCTTGTAGTAGTTGATGTTCATTGATGTTCACTGAAAAGCAACGAAACAAAGTAAAAATTTTGATTTGTTTCAACTTACAATAGTTAGGAAATATTTCGAACTGAATACCTTTGTGGACTTTCATGTAAAAGATTGGAGTGCTGATTGAGAAAGGTTCAATATATGAGAAGAATCTGAAACAATGTTAAGATTACGTAGGTAAAGGGGAACTGTTGAAAAACTGCAAAGTGACATCTGAAGAAGCACAAACTGGCGAATGGCTGCTAGTAAGCATCCGAAGGAAAACTGACGGGTCGTTGACGGACTATCGACGGACCATCATTTTTTCGGCAGCCGCCCTGTACTTGTGTATAAACAAAATTCAAACTCACTTCATATTATCTGTGTAGACACAGGATTAGAAAATATTTGAGAATACGATTTTTGAATTCCATTCTTTGGTACACCTGGATATATAAAAACCGAAGAGTTCTCGGATTGGACCCAGTTATTGACCGTACTAGACTGATACGGTACCACTGAAACGTTGGAATTCAGAAACACTAGTGTACAGTTTTCTGGTTTAGTCTCATCAAAATGTATTGTCTGTTGCTGATCCACATCGTATACGTAAAAATTGTTGTCTGAAACATCGTTTGGGTTTGAACTTCAGCATAAGAATCATGAAACCATTTTTACCATTCATTTGTCTTCTAGTGGTCATGTACAAAAATCCAGTCAGAAATCTCATATCAATATCTGTCAAGTTTGAAATAATAGATGCGGATTTCATGACTCGAAACGGTTGTAAAAATCCCGAATTAGAATTCATTTTATTCATTTTCAGCTGGTAGAGTCTGAATTTAAAACATTAAAATACAAAAGATGAGCAAACTTACGAAATCAATTGATTGTTTGAACAATTAACAAATATTTGTGAAAGCCGGCTCTTCGAGTCAGAAGACGCAGAAAAAACAAAGAGTATGGGCCATCAGCATCAATTTCAGTAATCGAATTCCCTTGGATAGTTTTCAGATTTATCAGTTTCTGAGAATCCGCAAAGGACGTTATAAGGATGGATAGAATCAGCTTATGACCATGCTCATGTTTGACTGGGAGTTACAAATTTGAACAAGTTTCCATTTGAAAACTCCCTATGCGGCAGTAAAAAGGATTACATAGAATACACATGTGAATGACGTACAGTTTCGATCGAAACCAATGAATCAACCTACTGGTGTTGAACTTTCAGACTCACCAAAAAAATGAAGAAAAAAAAGCCAAAACATGATTTATTATCAATATATAAAAGTACTCAAAATCTAGCTCATAGCTATAGTATAAATTTTAATCATTGTGATTTTGGTCCAATCGAATGATGGTACCATTGATAGAGTCCAGCTCAACAAAGTCTCCAGTTTTGAAATGCTGTGTGGCATTTGTAACAGCAATCAGACTAGGAAGTCCATATTCACGAGCAACAACTGCTCCGTGACTAAGAAGTCCTCCGATTTCAGTTACAATTCCACTGATCATTGGGAAGAATGGAGACCAACAGATATCTGTATATCTCGTAATAAGTATTTCTCCAGGTATTGTCTCTTTCGCTTCTTCCAAAGTCTTTGCAACTCTCGCGTTGGCTCTCACTTTTCCTTCGCAGACTGTAGTTCCACGGAGAGTCAGGCCAACACTTGCATCAGTTTCAGCGATTTCCACTTTGATAGGACTCATGTATCCGTGTGCAACAAGAGGGAATTGAAGTCCTTCGAATTTAGAAGCGATTTGCTTTCTTCTCACTGCTCTCGAAATCAATTTTGCACTTCTGGTTTCATTCAACTCTTTTAGTTCATCTATCGAGAAATGCATCCAGAGATTTGGATCAGGAAGATATCCCTGGAATTTCCAATTTTTGAAATTGTAACGATAAGAAGTATTTTATACCTTCTGATAAAGTTTCTTTCCAATCATTCGACATGTTTTGCGAACAGAGTTGGTTGTAGAAACCAGATGATTTTTCGCAGTTTCTCTGAACGCGACTCCCCGATGAGTCTGTCCAATGAAGTATTTTAAGAATCGTCTGAAGTTCGAACAATAGTTACATCTTCTTAAAACATTCAATACCTTCTAATTCCAGTTGGCTTACATTTCAATTTGTCAATAATATCATCTTCATTCTCAATTGTTTTGTCTGAAGCCTCTGGAAAGGACAACATGCTTTTGATTGTGTGAACCAACAAATCAGTGTCTTCTTCCCATGTGGCAGCATCTAAATAAAGTTCCTTTGGTCCTCGATGACCGTGAAGATCAAAGAATCTTTGTAGTTCCTGTGAACTTCTTCTTCCATTCTCTAAGATTTTCAGAGAATCGTTTCCTTCTGCATCACAGAATTCTTTGACGAGTCCATCTTCTCGAATAGTTTTCGCCAATTTTTTCAAAGAATTTGGAACATCTGCACTGACTACATCACCACGAGAGTTATTTGAAAAGACATTTGCAAAGTCTGATATATTGTCATTGGAAAGGGGACCAGCTGAAAAGAAGAATTTGCCTGTCTAGCACAGTTTATGATCACAAAACATACTGTCACTTCCGCGAATCAACATTCCGCAAAGAACATAAGTGAAAGAGGAGAACATGGAAAGATCAGTGTGACAACGGATAGCATCACACCATAATTTTTCCAATTCTTCGTATTTTTTGAATACTTCCTCTACAGACATATCTTCCGTTGGAACTAAAAGTTTAGCCTCCTTATCGATTTCGGCAATTTTTGCTTTGACGCTATTGGAAGTGAAGTAGATTAGTTTTATCATACGGTACATTCTCTTCAATGGGAAGAATGAGGGAACTGATCCGTATTGATGCGCAGCTTGACGGAACATTTCAGGACTGAAAAGAGTTTCACCAGCAATCACGATATCAGTTATTCTGTCCTTTTCCACCATTTCCCATATTCTGAGAACAACCTCTCCTAAATTGAAGAATATCTTTCGATGAGCAACCGAAAATCCAATGGTTGTATGGGCAGGGACCACATCGTTGATTTCTTGAGTTGTCATACACTATAAAATTTCAATAAGGGATGTTCAGCCTGATCTAAACTAACACAAATGACTTTGTCAAACATGCCAGTCAGATTATGAGCTTCCATTGCGTTTACAGGAGCTGGAAGAACTTCTCCAACATTGGCATTCGTTAGAATTTCTTTGTCGTGGATACTTGGAGAATTATACTCGGTGTACATTTCAAATGATGTTTCTTTATCTAATCCTGTGATATCTCGACTTTGAACAATGTTGACTTGATCGCCTCGGACAACAAATTCAATATCCTGAGGTTTCCCAAAAATTCGTTCCAAATATTCTCCTACTCTCGAGAGTTTTTCGATTTGGAAGTCATTCAAACAGCACTCGGTTCCGATTTTCTTAAAATAAAGTTATCATAAAAGTTCTAAATGATCTCTTACATTTATCACCACTGATTTATTAATTCGATTGACATGAATCTCGTCCGGAGTAGTGACACCGCTGACAATTTGTTCTCCACTCCCTTTCAGTGCATTGATCACAATTTCTCCACAATCCAACTTCACCGGATTAGCCGTGAACATTACTCCAGCTACTCCGTTTCTATTCATCTCCTGAATCACGACCGCCATTGATGGATTCAGTTGTTGACCATAGTTTCTGAACTCTCGAATCAACTTGTAGTCCCAAGATAGGCATTACTTACTTTCTGTAGTTCAAAACTTCTCTTCTGAAATTCGAAGCCCAGCACAGTTTCAGCTTGTCAGAGATTTCATGGCTAAACACATCCAGATAACTTTCCAATTGCCCGGCAGATGACAGATCAGCTCCATCTTCTCCAACTGCTGATGATCTAACTGCATAGTACTCCGAAAATGGCAACCATTCTCTGATTTTATTGTGGAGTTCTTCAGAAACTTCACTCTCGATCAATAACTCTCCGATGCTGGAAACAAGGAATGGTTTAATATAAGAAGGGTTAAAAATTTGTCTACCGTTTCCCAGTTTCCTCATAGTAATTTGCACTTTGATCATTCTGATCAAGGAGCTTAATGGCTTCAGCGATGTTTCGGTTCATTCGAACATGTTCATTAAAAGCAGCTGTAGTCACAACAATCCCTGGTGGCACATGAAACTGAAAACATAATTTTGGTTTTGAAAAACGATAAAACAGTTACTTACATCATTAGTAATGGCTTGAAGTCTCGCCAAGTTAGCACCTTTTCCACCAGTTAACAATTTATCTTGACAAGCCCTATGTCCAAATGGTAGTACTTGTCTCACTTTCTCTGAATCCGTTGCGTGGTATTCTGGGAAACAATCCAAAGTTTTTGCAGGAGTCGTGTGAAGTGCCTCTCTAATTCTGACAACGAATCCGATTCCAGTGAAAATTGCGGAGTTAACCTTCAGAGCAGTTACGTCGACAACTTTCCGATCCTCTCGAATGTAGTTGAAATGTGAAAGTTTTTGACCTTTTCTCATTTCGAATGGTAAAAACTTTCCAGAAGAATAGTTGAATCGAACAGGCATCATATTATCAGATTCGAGAGAATGGGAGTTGTGAAGAGTGACTGCACGAACACTGTGATCAGCGCGGAAAATGATAGCATGGGAAACTAATTTTTGATGTTCCAAAGAATTTACTCGGTGGGAAATTGCGTTTCCATCCTGAAAAAAAAACATTCCTAGTTTTGTAAAGAACTGTCATTTGAAGTTCAAATGTTGTTTGAAGTTCAATTTTGAACTAACACTGAGATATGTGTGGAATTGAGTTGACGTAGTTTCCAAATTTAGAGGATTTCTGTGACGGAGACCTCTGTATCTATGCTCCACGACTTCTCCGTTTCCAATTTTAATTTCAGCATGATACTCTCCCATTTGATGAAAAACGTTTCCCGTACGGTACCTAGAAAACAGTCAAGGACATTTAAAAAATATTTTACAAACTTTTCAATCGTTTTCAAATTCTCAGCCAACTCAAGCGGTTTTTCGTGATAAACATCTGTGAAAGACTTCAATGGCGCATTGGAATAGAAGAATCTTGCATTTGTAACACATCTCCACCATCCAGAGAGAATGATAAAATGAGAATTTCCATCGTTATCCTTGAGATACCCACGGAAGTTGATCCTCCACTTTCGGAATGGATTTCGAAGTTCAATAATAAGAGGACCGCAGATTATGGTACGGTTTTCAGCAAAATATGCATCGAATGATCCTGAATACAGAGTTCCATTCTCGAATATTCTGATATGAGACGAATGAATTCCGTTCTTTGTTATAATCTGGATATACACAAAACTGTCGTCTTCTCCTGAACCACTAATTGTGATGATTTCCTGAAATTTGTAACTTCAAACTAGATAGACTGGATTCAATGCACTTCATTTTTTATTTCCTCCATATTCCATTCATCCTTATCCGGGTTCAAAATATCTCGAATCTTTGCTGTTGGTGCAGTGAATTTTCTGAAAAAAAAGTCGTCCAAACTTTGGATTCCAAAGTCACAGTTTAAAATAAAACCATAGTTTGTGCGATAAAAGTTGGAGCTCTCGGACCTTTCGAACTTTTATCAAACTCTCTAGTTCTCAAAGTATGGTTTCTGCTTGTGATTTGTTAATTTCTACTCATCACTGATAAGGAATCAGAATAGAAAAGTTTCGAAAGAAGGCGAACTTTGTCCGTATCGTAAACAAAATCATTACCCATTTACCCAAATAGACCCCAAATGAATGTTTTCCAATCATTCTTCTGCTAATTGGTACACTCACCTGACCGGACGTCTCCATTTCAGAAATGCGTACACCACAGGGTACAGAATGTATCTGCACAGAGGTGCAGAAATGAATATGAGCAATAGTAGTATCAACATTAGGTTCTGAAAACTTAACATCTTAAAATTACTATAAAACTGACCGAATTAAGATTTGAGGGATATTGTTCTTATTTGATATCAATTTAACGTATTTCATCTGATGAATGCTCACCCTAGCAAAAAATAGTCAACTAACAAAATAACCATCAGGATTAAAAAATATTTTGTCAGTTAACCACTTTTAGATATCTTTCACAGGGATGGTTATAATTTAGCTCAAAGTTGACGGTTTGAGTGGGATTCTATTAGAGGAAATACGGTATACCGTAAAACCTGTATTAGAAGGGCCCTCCGAGAGGGTCTTGGAACAGTCCCTGTGATAGAAGGGCCCCCTTCAAACCGTGTTTTTTGAAATAGAAAATGTCCACATGTTTTCAGTTAAAATATTTCAGGAATTTCACAATTTCAAAGAAATTTGTTGAAACAGTCTTTTTTCGAAAAAAGATTTTTCTTCAAAAACTTGCTCAATTTTGGCGAAATTAATGGATTGTCATAATTTTTAACGAGAATTCACCTAATTCTTATTTTAAACATTCCGGTAAAAATGTCCGGAAAAATAGAAGGGCCCTCTGGAGGTACTTTGGAATAATTGAAGGACCGATCCTTCTACAGGTTTTACAGTTCAAAACTGAAATTATATTACGCGATCGTATCCCCACACCAGGGGGCATTCCCCGTATTTTTTTCACAATTAACCCCGATTATTGTACTCTGACAAAAACCGCTAGGCTCTGGGGAGAACTCGAACCAACGATGGTTGATTCAAATTCATCCCTGTTAACCACTAGGCTAATCGGGAGCACGTTAGATGAAGTTTCGATTATATACTACACGTTTTTTAAAATTAAAAATTAACTTTTTCTTTTTTTTCGGCATTTCTGATTGTAAATTCAAATGATTCTTGGGGTAGTTTTTGGAGTTTCCGAAACTGGAAAAACATCACCAAGTGTTCAGAAAAAAAGGGAAATTGTTTTTTTTTTCTGAATAGGCATTTCATAGGGATTTTTTAATACTTTTGAAGGCTAATTTGAAAATTAAAAAAAATTATTGGGATAGTTTTTAGAATATTCTAAACTGAAAAAAAACATACAGTGGCGAACGTTAGTGATTGTCCCTCTATACTTTTGTTCATAACTTTTCTCAAACTTGTCCAATAATCGAAAACTTTTTTGTTAAATTTAGCTGGGTTTCCAACAAAACGTTGTATAAGTTTTTTTAAAAATGAATCAATTTTTGTGTCTTCTGAATCTTCACAGACGTGACGATGACTCCAGAAGAAAAACAATTTTTCCGTCAGAGTTTTTTTTGAAGATTGGCTTTGTGATGAAAAATGTTTGGTGTAGATTAAATATATACAGAAAATATTTGAAGCGGTTTGGAACACTTGCTCTTGAGATGTGCTCACTGGAGCATAAAAGGTATGGTTCTAGAGTTTGATTATAAGTCGGCTCAAAATGATTGCAATTTGTTCAAATTTTGAGAGAATGTGTGTCTTTAATTGTTCTACAAATTACATACAAAACTTTGTTGTTTGGGAACAAAAATATTTTCACATTTTGTTCATTTTTGTGTATCAAAAACGAGTAAAACAAACAAGCAAAATTTTTTGTTCCCAAAATACAACGTTTTGTATGTAATTTGTAGAACAATTAAAAACACACATTCTCTCAAAATTTGAACAAATTGCAATCATTTTGAGCCGACTTATAGCTAAACTCCTGAACCATACCTTTTATGCTCCAATGAGCACATCTCAAGAGCAAGTGTTCAAAACGCTCCAAATTTTTTTTCGTATACATTTGGATCTACACCAAACATTTTTCATCACAAAGCCAATCTTTTAAAAAAGTCTGACGGAAAAATTGTTTTTTCTTCCGTAGTCATCGTCACGTCTGTGAAGATTAGAAGACGCGAAATTGATTGAGTTTCAAAAAACTTATATGGTGTTATGTTTTTAACAACTGAAGTAACTTCTGATTTGACTTTCAGATAGCTTTGTTTTTACGCATACATTAATTCAGGGTTCTAAGCTTACTTTTTAAGGACTGAGCCTACTTTTATTTCCGTAAAACCGGTACTAGAAGAACCGGCCCTTCTATTGTTCCAAGGTACCTCCGGGGGGCCCTTCTATTTTTCTGGCTAGTTTTTTTTCCGAAACTTTGCATCAAAAAAATCGACGAAGTTTCGTTCAAAATTCATGAAAATCTGCCAATTTCAACCAAAATTTAGCAAGATTTGCATCGAAAAATAGAATTTCAACAAATTTCTATTGATTTGTGGAATTCCTGGAATATTTTCCATTGAAAAATTACGGAATTTTTTGATTTCAAAACACATTTTGAAGAGGGGTCATTTTTCACAGAGGGCCTTTCTATTACGAGGGCCCTTCGATTATTGGTAAGCCTGCTTTTTAACCGTAAGCCTGCTTTTTAAAGGCTAAGCCTACATTTTAGAAGCTGAAAATAATTTTTAATGGCTGATTTTACTTTTAGAGGCCTTGTTTTTAGTATATCCCGATTTAAGTTGCTATTTTTTTGTATTTAATACGGATTCGACTACTTTCACTCTATCCTTTGAGGGGAATAAATTCACTATTATTCGCATCATGCGAATACTGTGGATCCACGTTTCTCATTTTATCATTGGCTTTTATTTCTTTGAAATGTCACGGAAAAAAGCTATGTGAAACAATTTACTTAAAAAGTTCAGCGTGAAAAGTGCCCCCTGTTGCGTAGATACGATTACTCAATTATGTTCCTATGTTCACATGGAGACTGGGCAAAAAAAACGGGATTCGGAAAGTTGTGTTTCTCAAAATAGTAAACCTGAAAAACTTAAGTTTCTCTATTGAAGTGGAAATGGCACATCACACATTAACCATTAACTGATAACAGGAGTAGTGTGTGGAAACGAGGAGGAGTTATCAGAAAGAGAGAATCAATAACTTAAAATGTACCAAGAATCTTGATAACCTGAAAAAACTGCTGACTCCACAAATGCAATGACGAGGATGGTCTAATTGACCGACGACGCTTACGTCCGGGTGGCCGCCTAATTTGGATTATTGCGTTTTTTGTCAGGAATGAGAAGAAAATAAACAGGATACAAGAACAAAATTTTATACGAAAAAAATTTTATTGAAAATGGTTAAAATTACACTAAAATTTAGTGATTTCTTCCTAAACCGAAAGAAGGCGTTCGGTAGGTACAACATTTAGTGGTGAGCCTCGTCGTGTCCATGATGACCGTGATTACGGTACTTGTATTTGAGTCGCTGCTCTTCTGGAATAGCAAAATCGTAAACGACAGTTCCGGCTTTGATGATTCCGAAAAGAAGTGCCAATCGCCATACGATTTTGAGGTATTGGCCATATGGTGATTGACGGAAAAAGTCGGGGTCCTTGTTCTGAAAAAAACTACTTTCTAGAAAATAGAACTGGTAGGATACTCACGATAGCACGATAAGCCGAGGTAGCCTCTTGCTTGGCGTTTCCAAACAAGAACATTTTTGGCATGTTGTTCACATTATCCCATTTTCCTTCGCTTCCAAGTCTGTTGATCTCTTTCCAGACGGCTTGAGAATCGCTGAAAGAATGATACAAATTTTTTCTAGGATAATTAGATTCACAGAACAATGAAATCAGTAAAAAATACCCGGAAACATGTTTGACATATTTAGTTTTTATGTATTACTCTTGTCCGAAATCAATGCACGTTGCGACCGAAAAAACAACGGTGGGCGGAGCTTAGCTACCACAGAGAGAACCTTACCGTATTTTTCAAACTATTGCACGCGCCTTTAATACAGTACCTCAACATTTATCGAATTTTCTCAAAATTCTTTCATTTTTTCGCTTGTTTCTGTCTAATTTTGTGTAATTCTTATCAATCTTTAATTTATTTTTCTTATAAAATAGAAAAAAAAACAGCCAAATAGGGCCCAAAATAAAAAACGTCCAAGGTACGGTATTTAAAGGCGCATGAATCAATTTGTTTTTTCGCTTTGCGACCGACGATGCGATTTTGAGTAAATTTTCGGCCGCAACGTGCATTGATTTCGGACGAGAGTAATAAAACAGTGATTTTTGTTGTCTTGTTTTCAGACGAGCTGAGATACATTTCGAAAGATTCGAACAAAAACTTACTGAGAGTGCGAGGAGACTTGACGGACAGCAATACGCGCTACTTGGCGACCGGCTTGAGATAAGCCTGACATGGCGGAATTACCTGAAATACGGTATAAAAATTTTCAGAACATTATGAAGAAAAATAAGATTTTATAAAGATAAAACACCCATTCGCCAACACCCCGATCGCTATTTGGAAAAGTAGAAATTCATCGAGCACGCGCGCCTGCTCGATGAATTTCTGAAGGCGTAGGTCTGTCGCGCTCGGGATTTTGGCGAATGGAAAATACTGAACGACCTGAATATAAAGAAAAATTTAATTTACAGAACGATTAGGTTTGATACATGCAAAAATTAAAGAGGTAAAAGCGCAAGAAACGGTTTTGAAGCATTGAAATTTCCGATTTTTCTCGATATAAAAAAAAACTGTATGATTTTCAAAGGCACATGTTCAAATCTCTAACTTCGTTGGAATACCATCGAACAATCAATGATATTCCTTTAAATTCGCATACGGTTACTCTCAGAAAAAAATACGAAATTTTGAAATTAAATATCCTTTCTTTCAAATCAGAAGTGGTTGCTGTTGAAAATACTTAAGCTAAAGTTTTTTAGCGGACCACGCTCTCCCACAGAACAATTCCGAACTGCAAATTAATTTTTGATCTACAGAAAAAAAGTTTGGCGCGATCACAATTGCAGGTCTAAAACCATAATTTCAGAATTTTTTATCTGATTTTGTGGAGTTCCAAGATGATTCAAATGATTCTTAAAAAATTAATTAGTGGTTATAGATTCATGTATGGTCGCTTTCCGGAAGAAAAAAATGTCAAAAATGGTCGTTTTGAAAGTTTTTTACAGAAAAAATCTATCTCCTGTTTCAGTTTTTGACATTTCCAGGAGTTCTATAGCTCAAAAAAAACCGCAATTGTTTTTTCTACATTTTCTATGGATGAATTTTTATTTTGTCTGATAAAACTTTTTTTATAATTCAAAAACCTCATGAAATTGCACAAAATAGCATTTTTGCGTTGTTTCTTGATTATAAATCATTTGAATCATCTTGGAACTCCACAAAATCAGATAAAAAATTCTGAAGTTATGGTTTTAGACCTGCAATTGTGATCGCGCCAAACTTTTTTCTGTAGATCAAAAATTAATTTGCAGTTCGGAATTGTTCTGTGGAAGAGCGTGCGGACCGCATATTTTAAAAAATAGACGAACAAAAAAATTTCTCAGTTAGTAATATGTTTTTTCGACAGCTGAAACAACAGGAAAAGCGGTGCTAAAAAATTTGCCCGGCTGGGGGAAACGCGCAAAGGGATCCATATGACGCACTTCTCGATCGCTTGACGCTATTCTTGGTTTTCGGTTTTTTTTTTTGAATTAAATTTACATCTTCACAGCTCTAAATATATTTGAATCTAACCTGATTTATTGTTTTTATTCAGAACAATGAGCCATACGATTCTTCTCCTTCAGCCAACAGATAACATCGAATCGCGATCCTGGTCGGACTACGAATCAACAAATGATTGCCTTGATGGTGAGCACTTTTTGAAAAATTCAACTCGCAATGTGATGTTTTTCAGGAATCTGCAAAGTCTACGAGGAATATCTGAAAAAGAAAACACCAACAAAACCAACCATCACATATGATATTTCTAACCTGTTTGAGTTCATCGACGATCTGAAAGATCTCTCAATGCTTGTTCTTGACAGCGTACGGTCTTTTTTTTTTAAATTTTGTAAATAATTAATTTTCAGGAAACATATACATACGTTCCGCACAATAAACAGTTTGTGAAAGAAAGTATATACAAATTAATGGACACCAGGTTGAATAAGCAACAGTGATTGGTATAAACAACATTCCACACATATTTTCCCACTTTTATCTCTCAATCGCTACGGAGTCACTTCCTCAGTTTTAAACCGATTTATTCGATTTTTGAGGCAGAAAAATCAAGAATTTTTCCATGTTTTTAATTCCGTTTCTAATTTACTAAAACACTAAGATGTAATGAACTATTTAAAAGCTTCGTTTTTCGTTTGTATTATCCGGAAGTTGTCAATTTCTTCATGATACTGTTGTGCATTCACTGCAATTTTTAGAAAGAAATTGATTCAGTATGATGGTGTCGCCTCCTCAGGAAGACGTCGTATTAAACGCAGACTCAGAACCTGTCTTTGAACGTGAGTTTTTTCTTCAGAGAGACTCGAGAGTTGGTTTGAATCTTCAGATGGAGCCACTCTCGTTTCTTCTCCATTTCATGCTGACGCTGAGCATACGTTCGATATATCATTTGCTGCAGAAGTCACTGACGACATGACGTTCGACGACACCACAACAACTAGCAGAAACCATGATAGCATTCCAGAAGAGGCATTGAAAATGGTAGAGATACAGAAGACAAATCACGGTAAGTCGCTTTGTGACTTTAAATCGCTACCACAGTAGACATCGGAAAAAGATATTTCAGGATTTGGTTTCAACATTGTCGGGGGGACTGATAACCCGCATTTCCCTGGCGACATTGGAATTTACGTTTCGTCCGTGAATTCTGAATCCAAGTCTTACGGGGTCGTTCGGACAGGTGACAAAATCTTATCGGTTTGTTGTGAATCAAACGATCATCTAAAGAAAAATGCACTTTTTTAGTTTGATGGAATCGACATGACTTCCAAAACACACGATGAAGCTGTCGATGTATTCAGAAGCGTTGAAACTGGACATGTTGCAAAGATGCTGATTGATCGTGAATACTTATATCTTCAAGAAGATCGCACACAAACCCCAACGGCTTCTGCAATTCTTTCTCCTCAAGTAACACCACAAACGAACGGAGTCAGAAACACAGACACGCCCAAATCAATGACGAATTCCGAATCAAAAGGTCGTTTGACTTCTCATGGAATCTCAGCAGTTATAGAAAGGTTAGCAGAAAGCTAAAATTGAAATTTGTTTCGAACAAGGCTATCTTTTCAGAATTCGTGGAAAAGTTTACGACGAAGAAGATGCTCAAAGTGTGACATCATATGCCCCGTCTACTCATTCCATAATTGACGATGTTCCGAGAACTCCACGTAAACCACTCAGTATTCTGGACCCAAGAAAGTAGGTTTTAATTCGGGGCTAACAATCTCACCGCACTTATCTAGAACATTGGGCGTCAGGTTACTTCAGTTTCGCCCTGTAGCGGAAGGTATGTTCGAGACGGGATCCGAAAATTCCAAAAATTGAGACTATTTTCGAAATAAAATTCAGACCGAAATATTTCCGAATTTTTTTCTACATCGCTGGGAAGCGGCACAGCACCCCTAAAAACAAAAAAAAAACTCCAATTTTCAGTAACTCGTGGATCACGGAGGCACTGTACGTCTCAATCGGACTTGGTGCTCTAACCCTATCAGGATATCTTGTCTACAGATTCATCAGAAGTCGCAAGTAACAATGCCTCTCTCGGCTTTCCTTCACATTCATTCATTCTTGTTCTTATTGAAATACTTGTATTATCATCAGTTCTATCATCACCGTTAATCTCTTCAGTTTCCGTTTCCCTCGGTTTTTTTTTCTTCAAGATTCAATTCAATTTTTCTTTATTTTTCTTTCACTTCATGACAATCAAATTTTGGTGCTGTTTACCGTTAAAACCGTAGCGAGTTACAGTAGGGAATAGATATAAAACACTCCCACAGGTATTGATAGAATTCCCGTTTCCGTTTTAAAAAGTTCTATTCTTTCTTTCCCTTTTAGCAGTTCTAGTTGCGAATGTGTGTGAAAATTTTAGCCGTCGTCTCTGAACCTTTCTCATTCTATTCGCTCCATTATTTCGCACCAAGTGCTGCTCAAGTACCATTTCAATTCTCTCCATCTCTTTTTTCGGTGCCGATAATAAAGATTCTGAATGTGTTCTTCGTTTATTTTTTCAATATCGATTTAGCCTAGAAAAACTGTTAATCACAGTTTTCAATATTTCCATATTATGTCAAAATCTACATATAGCCGTGCTGTCGCTTATGGTGCATTTCAATAAAAATGTGTATTGGCTTTCAGAGATGATTCATAGATGAAAGCGATGGAAGAGCGAACAGTGGGTCTCATATCTGCCAGTTCGTCACGTGCATCACTGAAAACCCAATTGGAGAACGGATACCCGAGAATCTGTGACTATTGTGAACCTACAATTGAATTTCTATCATCATCAGAATTAGCACGTCATATTCGGCAAGATCATACAACACAAGAGGGTGGGAGCTTTCTCTGCAGGTCAGTTATTTTCCGGATCAAATGAATTCCTCATTTCTATTTTGTAATTACAGGTACGGAGAACACGGAGTATGTCAGAAACTGCCATTAGAAGGTGTATGTGATGTTGATTTCGAAGCTCATATTCGACGATGCCATACTTCACAATCAGTTCCTTACTCGCGTTCAACATCTTGTTTCACAGAGGATAACGAAGAAGCAGCGAGTTTGCGAAGTATCCGATTGACAAGCGACCGAGATACTCCGACGATTGAAAAAAAAAAATTCACACTTCATAGGTAAATTTCGTTTTATTTCGTTTCGAATGGGGATGGGTATTTAAGTAGAAAGCTATTGTGATCACAGGTTTCGATTATTAATGGGGGAATGGAAAACAGAAAACAAAGTGAGAGGGATGGGGGAGAAAATGATTAACAACCTGAGAAGAAGAGCAACTAATATTATGAAGTAGATAACCGGTAACTGGGATGGGTTTGAATCTAACGAGACTGCTGATTAGGATCGGGTGCCTTTGGGATTTGCACTGTATCCTTGGGAGTTTCCACCTTCCTGAAAAGTATCACAGTTTTAAAATTTGCAAGTAGAAAATAGGATAGAAATGAACAAGTGGCTCATGTGGGTGCGCTTGCCTTATCGAGCGATGCTTGACGTGAGTTTGGCTTAGATCCACCCTTCTTGGGCTGTTCGGGAGATCCTCCAGGGAAGAACTCGGCGAATGGATTTTCCGCCAGTGACATCTTCTTTCTCTCGGTTCCGTTGTCGATTGTGAAGTCACCATCCTCATCTTCTCCATCCTGTGCATATAGTGAAGTGAAATATGTGATTTGTGTTTTAAAATAATTTGATATCATGCCCCAGTGAATTCAAAACAGTGAATGCGGTTTTTGAAATTTTTTTGTGATTGAGAAAAAATAGATAGAAGGCAAATGTTCAACTTACAGAGAACTTTTATTTATAATTTAAATCCTAAAAATATTTCTCAAACACTGTGTTTTGATTCTCTAAAATCTCTCACTAACTCACCCTTCTGTCGAACGTATTTCCCTTTTTGAGGATCTTTTCGTTCACAATCTTCTTAGTGAAATATGTGTAGGAGTATGTGACTAGCTGAAACTCGAGAATTAGTTCGGCATTCAATTTTTTTATACCTGAATAAGAGAAAGAATCGAAAGTCCTAGCCACATTCCAATGGATCCTCCCAGAGCGGCAATGAAAGTGGTTGGAGTGTATTTCCATTGTTGTTCCATAGTCAAATACTCGAATGGTCCCCATGAAAGCTCGACAAGTGTCAAGTCTGGACGAAGCATACGTCCCTTCACAGAGTGATCAACTTCGAATCTGATTTGACGGCAATCGGGGAAGCACTTGTTAGCGCATTCTGTGTCGGAATAGTTGCCTTTTTGAACACTGAAATGATTATATTTGTGGAATATGCCTGAAAGTCGTCAAACATACTCGACTGTGCATTGTGTGTAGTCACAGAGAGGGAAGATCTCCATATCCTCTTTCTTGGCCAAGTAACTCAATGAAAGTGGTGTACAGTGGCATGCGTCTCGAATCATCTCCATACGGCATCTGGATCGGCAATTGAATTCACTATCCTCTCCATCTTCGACATCACGACATCTTGTTCCTTCCTCGTCGTTCTCTAACATCTGATAGAGTGCAGTCACATGAGCGGTAACTTCGTGACGTTGTCCCAAACAGAGCTGAAATTAAAGATTTTAAAATGGATTAAATTTTGGGTTCATTACCTCATCAATGAATCCATCTCTAGACCGTCCCTTTCCTTCCATGAATCTGTTCAATGAAGATGGTCTTCCGTGGAAATCAACAGACATGCAGTCGATCTTTTGTCCTTCTGTGTTCTCTGCATTGTGGGATAGCAACATGTCAAAGAATACTCCTTGATCATCGATGGTTTTGAAGTTATCTTTGTCAAATTCTGGTTGGTAGCAAATTTGCATCTGTGAAATCCATGAGATTCTGAGCTTCGTCTTGATGACAGTATCGTCGTCATCGAATGTTCTTCTTCTGAATCTTTGCATGGAACGACGGAGAACTTCAATACCAGTTTTCTGTGTGAATTCATCGAAAGTGATACGACGGGAGTCAAGAATATCTCTCCATTTCTTGAATGTCTTTCTCTTTGCTGCGAGTCTCGGAGAGTTCTTGAACACATGAATCGAACGAGCTGATCCATGAGCAGTGGTTTCTCTCTCCAAACTGCTGTATGTTGCTATCATATCGTATGCTTCCATTACAAGTCGATAGTCCCATGGTTGCTTCATGAAGGCATCATGGTCAGTCATATTGGCAAGACTTTCATCAACAACGGCGTCCCACTCGTCAGCTGGAGCACTGAGATTCAGTTTGAAATGAGACCAAGCTTGCGCTCGAGACATGCAGAAAGTGACATTTGGCATGGTCATAGACTCGTTGAACACAATGTTGATGTCTGATTCCTTTGGATACTCAAAGTATTCCTCGAACTGTAATTGAAAGTGAAAACTAAAGTTTGCGATTGAAAAAAAAAACAGAACAGAGAGGGGATCCTAATGTGATAATGAGAGGTAATTACTTACCAGGTCGAAGACGTCTTTAACAGTAAGAACAGCCAAGAAAGCGACGATAAAGATGAATGCGTACTTCCTTGCACGTCTTCCGAACAACGCATCTTTCCATGACGACGGCTTGTCATCTTCTGGATGAGCATGTCGTGGCTCATTGACATCGTGCATCTCGACGGATGTCTGGTCTTTTACCTTTGCTCCCATTCTGAAAACACACTACTACTGGTAAACTACTACTGGTACTGGTAAAAATGTTTTCAAAATGCTTTAGAAAAATATTTGTGTCGGGAGTGAAAACATATGTCTAATTAAGGATCTTTAAAGTGTTTATTAGAAAAGTACGTCTAGAACAGAGTGGATAGTTCCAGCTAAATGAGGACAGTTAACTCTTCCTCTCAACTGATTGGGTTGACTTAAGAAGAGACGGAAAACGGTAGAGAATGACGGTCAAAATAGTAATTCGAATTATTGGTTTTGAGAGCGTCGAGAAGGATGGGAAAACGATGAAAAAGAAGGAGTAGGAGGGTCAAAGTTAGATGATGGTCACGCCTTCTTCTCCACCTTCATCGTCGGTTTCCTCTTCTCCTAATCAGACGATATCTGATTTTTTTCCTGACGGTCAAATAGCTGTTAAACCAAAGAAACATTCCTAATGTTGTTTCAGGAGAACTTTGAAACATAAAGCAGAATTAGAAAATGTCGAAAAAGTTCTCCAAAAATATAACAGTGATTTGACCGGTACACCTGATTGGGGAACGAAAACCTGATTTTCAACAGACGGAAGAAAATGAAATTGCGAAAAAAGTAGACCTGATATCAACAAAAATTGACGTTACTTTATCGAAGAATGTACCTGAATTTTGGAAAAATGAGATAAAATATAGGGTTTGTTGGTAAAGATCGGGAAGGTCTTCATTGTTTTAGAAAGTGGAGCCATCGTCGAAGTTTGTATTCTGGATATTCCAATACACGGAACTGAGTCATCTTACGTAACTGTACTCCAGACCATAACAACGAATTAGGTACTTAAAAATTCTTCTTCTATCCCTAATTTTTTGCAATCAAACATGAGGTGCCTGGAACTGCCACGTCATAATGACTTCATCGAATCGATCGGAATGAGGGACTCATGAAGTAAACGTAGCGAAAGTTTTCTTCAGACCTCATTCATTACTGTAATTAAAAGTTATGCCTTGTGATCACGAATTACTTTAGGATTCGATCATTTCGGAAACCTAGTTCTGTAATGCAAACTGTTAGTTAAGAGTTACAGATGAAAGATGCAATCTTTCAGTGTCACTTTTATCAGTTTGATATCTTTATAGGTTTTCAATCATCTTTCTGTTCCTCTTCAATGATAAAGGGTCTTTTCCAAATATCAAACTCCAGTGTTTCAAGACTTTCTTTTAAAATTACCCATTATGTTCTTGTTTTGTGGTTCCACTCTATTAGGTCACTTGATTGAATTTCAAAAAATGGCTGAATCAAGTGTAACCTATTTTTTCCTTTCCCCTCCGCAACCCAGTCTATCTTTTTCTGATAACTCCCAAAAACAGTAATTTCAATCTGACCAGTGGCAGTAGTTTATCAACGTCTCCTCTTCTCTTCTTCTTCTGCCGCATCGAAGTATCTGTCTCTATCGTTATCAGTGATTGTAGAAAATGAGAAATTATTGTGATGGGGACGGACCGGTGGACAATCTTCAGTTAAAAAAACGGTGGGGAAAGAAAGATTCGGATGACCTTTGGTTTGGATTTGATATCAACCACACAGAAATTTATGGTAGGCAACACAGTCAACCACTTTGAAGATGTGGGGGGAAATAGAACATGTGAAGCGAACGGGATTTGACGACACTCGAAATGGGGGATGGAAATGAAGGGTATTTCTCGTCACATAGATTCAACGTAAACATTAGGTTCTAATCGAAAATTTCGTCTCAAAGGTATGAAAGTTTCGTCCGGTTTAAGTGAGTCTACAGTATCTAGTTCTGTAATTCCATTAAAATACAAACAAAATATCGGGAGGCCACCCTATACTTGCACTTCGAGCTATATTATCCTAATTTCTATAAGATATATCAAAAATGTGTCAACTGATAAAATGTTGGGGATATTATGAAAAAAATTTTGGTAGTTGACTATTTTCAGATATTTTTCATAGGAACCGAGATAATTGAGCTCAAAGGGCAAGCATGGTGTTTAAAGTATCTCATTCCACGTTTTTTACAGTTTCACACAAAATTTGTCCGCAGTGCTTGCCGATCCATCACGTTCCCGGAATGACCTATCAACATTCTTCACTCGTCACTGGGGAGATACTTTTGTACCAACACAACCAGTACCAACATCAAAACGACTAGCGAAAATGGCTGATGCATCTTTCGATAGTTATTGTCAGGCTGCTGGGGAGGTGAGGGAATTGTAAGAATTTCAGTTTTAATATTGGATTTTTTACAGTCTTACAAAAGATATCAAGCAGTGAAAAGAGCATTGCGACTGAGTCATACTGAAGGCACAGAGTCTGGAAATGAACGACAAGATGCTGAAGATTTACCAACGGTAAGACCCAGTAATAGAAACCGAAAATGAGCCCTCCCGGGCCTACAAAACAAAATAAGCTCGACTTACCGTATCAATCTCCTTCGTCTCCGTTGCTCTTCTTGATGTGCTTTCTCATCTTCATAGATCGTTTGTCCAATTGCCATAATCATGATGACAGTGAATATTCGTTTCCTAGTAGGCGTTCAGAAAGTGAAGGTGTTTTGAAAATATTGGTTTGTCTGGTATTCCTCCACCTTCTTCTCGCATAATTGAAAAGTTTTAGTCAAATAATAAGAATAGAATTCTCGAAGAATTTCGATAATTAGTTTCTCACATTCAGTAATTAGATATTGAAAACAGGTTCTCGAGACTTCAAATTACTTTAGCAAAGTGTTTAGAACTGAGCTGAAGAGTCGCAGTTGTTTCTGTGATACTTTTTCTTTTTGCTATCGCTTTACGACGGACCGGGCGAACAGCCGGAATGACGAGACTCAGAGGATGAAGAGAAACGGAGCTGGAGGGTATCTAAATCACTCGTTGATCGGGATGTTTCGTGTTTTTATCTCGTTGTGATCAGGTGTAGGTACTGAGTGACAAATTGACGACGTCTTGTTGGCACAAGTGGACACATCTGGCTGACCAACGGGAGTGTTAACAAGATGTGGGAGGAAGATCGGAAGATCAAGAAGAATCAGATGAAAATACTGGGTTAGGGAGTTTTGATATGTTTTCACTGTAGAAGCTGAAAATCTGAGAACAGGAGACAATTCCATTTGCTCTGGAAATTAACTTTTGATGTGCTACGTTTTCAGTCAGTCAACCTCACGGGCATCCCTTGCCTTTTGCTATTGAGCAACTTCTGAAGGCAATTCTTTGTAATCCAGTAGAGTTTCCAGTTATCTCTGTTTTTAATAGGCTATCAATGATAGCGAAACTCAATTTTGTAATAATCTTTTAAATCCTATATTTCAAGTTTTGCCGATCACTTGCATCCACCTCCTAGAGTTCCTCGTCAATAACGATTAACTTCACAATCCATTCAAAATTACGAAATATGAGCCTAGACGTATCCATCCTCTGTGTTCGGTCAGCTGTTCTTTCGCTATTATCAGCTAGTTTCTTTGATGTTTGTCATCTTTTTCGTTTTCGCATCAAGTGAGGGTGGAGGAGAAACAGCTGTCTTCTCCTTTTCTTTCTTTTTCCATCCCCGTGAAAAGGAGACTCAAAGCTCATGGAACGGCCGGGAGAGCCAAATGATCATTGAGATGGAAAATGAGGGAGATAGAAGTGCAAAAGAATTGAAGAACTATTTTTCAGGTCTTCATCGATCCACGATTCACACTTGGAGACAGTTCAACATTCTCAGCTGTTTTCACAGTTCCTGCCAATGAAAATCTGGACGCGTTGAAGCAGACATTATCCGGTAAAAATGTGATACCTGCGACACCGTTGGAAGTTGCCATAAACAAAGTACGGTACTTCCTTGTATTTACAGTCAATTATCATCTGATTTTCCAGAAACCAGGCGAGTTTCGTGACTACGAAGCACTTCAAAACCGTCTCGAAATGATGCATGATGTTGTTGACGGAAGACTAGCTGGAAAACTTGTTGCCAAAACTGATGACTTCTGGCAAGTGGTTCGATCGTACAGTGGCCTCCAGGAACAACTAGCGAATGCGTTGCAATGTGTGATGGTTGTAAGGAAGAACTTGAAACATGTCGATGAACTAGTATGCGACCAAACAAAGAAAATCATTGAAGTTCACCAAAAATACGAACAGAAAAAGCATTTATTGGCCAAGTTAAACGATATTGCATGCCTGCGAGAAGCACAATCCACAGTCCAGATGATGTTGTCACAAGGGGATTATCCGAAAGCAATCGAATGCATCGAAACGAGTTTGGATGTTCTTTCAAAAGAACTGAACGGAGTGACGTGCTTCCGACATCTTTCATCTCAACTCAGAGAGCTGTATAGTGTCATCGGAAGAATGATGAACGAAGATTTTACTTCTTTAATTCAGAAAGAATTTGGAGTGAAGCCAGAAGCAGGAACACTAATTCAGGCAGAAGGAGAGCTCTCAGCCGTACTTCTCGGTTTGATGAGAATGCGAAAATATACCTTCATTTCGGTTTTGCGAGAGGAGATTATAGAAGGTGTGAAAAGTGTAATGAGACACGTCATCAAGAGTCAAATTCTGAATAGTGGAGTTGATTTAAGCGATTTCGATCCAAGTCTCACCCAACTAGGAGAGCCTGTTCGAAGAATGAAGCATGCAGATTTTCTAAAAACTGTTCGAGCTGTGATGGACGAAGAGTACTTTTTCTGTAAACGACTTGAAGCACTACAAGATATTTTACTGGAAACTGCACAACGAGCGCACCCCTCAAATCGTCATGGATCCGAAGATATTATTATTGAACGATTGGAAGAAGCAAAGCTCAATGAATCTGATTCTGACGATGAAACGGGATCCTTTTCGAAGTCTACCAGTTCTGGAGGTTTTGTTTCTGGATCAGCAGTGAATTCTAATGCAACTGCCACAACACTTCTATCCATTGAAGTCAGATCTGAGGCTTTCCTGAAACGAGTTCTTCCTCTGATAGCAGAATTCGGGCATCAATGTGCACAACAAAGAATATCACGTCTTCTGATAGCACGAGCTAAGAATGCTTCAGTAACCGAGGCAACAACACCAACTCAACTTTCTGAATGTATTGCAATCGTCAAAGAATATCAATCGCAATGCGAAGAGGAAGGGTGGTATTCCACCCAGAATCAGAAAGCGGGTGGTCTCGGAAGAGCCATCAACAAACTGTCGATGGATTACATTGAGAAATTCCATGCGGCACGTAAGATGCGTATCGGAAACATGCTCGATACGGAGCTGTGGAAAGCTACGGATGTGTCTATTATCGATCAAAACATGGTAGATCAAGCTATCGAAACTGGAATGTTGAGAAGTTCGAAACGGATCGATGACGGGCCAACGAAAAAGCCATTCAAAAGAACTGGAAGCAGCGCAACAATCGATTCGGGAACCTCTGTTTCAAACCAAACTGGAATCATTGTTGATGAAGAAAGTTTTGTTGTTGTTGGGTTAGTTTTTTAATAATAGTTTCATTTTTCGTACAATTCGTATTTTTAGATCATCTATTACAATGATTCAAATTCTCGCTGATTACTGTGAAGCAATATCTAAGATGCCTACATTTGCGCAAGATTGGAATTCAAGAGTTATAGAGTTACTCAAAACTTTCAACAGTCGTTGTTGTCAGTTGATATTGGGCGCTGGCGCTCTTCAACTCGTTGGCTTGAAGACGATTTCCGTTCGAAATCTAGGTACTATTTTTGTAAACCTAAGTTGCTCAAAGTGATCGGTTTCAGCTCTCGCCGGTCGTTCGCTCGAATTAGTTTGCCGTTTCATCCCTATGGTTCATGATGAAATGGATAGAGTTCTTCCGGATGACAGAAAGAGTCTTCTTCGTTATTTTAAAGGAGTGGAGAGTGAATATCGAGATCATGTCAACGAGATTGCAATAAAACTGATCAGTGTGATTGCTCATTATACGACAAATTGCCTAGGAATGTGGGATGTGAAGGGGAATATTCCGTCTCCCGAATTTCAACAGATTTGTCGTCACATGCTGAAATTTCACAATGGCTTGACGGGAATTATGCCGCGAGACCAGATTGAGTCTCTATTCCGTCAGGTACATGAAAACTTCAAAGCCAACTTACGAGAACATGTAACTGGAATGGGTATTCGACCACATGACACTCTAAAATACGGGTATGTTCTGAAACTGTTTTTTAAACCCATCTCATTGTTTCACTTTCAGATATGTCACTCAAGACTACATGTATTACCAGCAAAATGTGAAAAATATGGAAAGTTGTCGGAATTTGGAGTTGGAGTCTCTCAACGATATAATGTTTGACTAGGTGTTGATTTTGTAATTATTCTTTTTTTTAGTTCTTCATGGTGCCTTTTTAATAGGATTGTGATATTGCTTGATTACGGTGTTGTTTCATTTCACGCTTCTTCTGTACCATTTCCCTCCCTAAACTGGTCCTCCATTCCCCCCTCTAATTGCTAATTGTGCTACCCTATCCGGGCGAGCTTTATATCATATTTTGTCACTTTGTTTGCTCTTTGAATCCTGGTTGTAATTTAAGTAATTTATTGCATGTACAAACGACAATAATGCGGTAGCCGAATGAAAAAACATGGTTTATGGTTTTAGTAGTGAGACAAAGCAGAAGCAGTAGTTAGTAGTTTTGACATGAAAAGTTAGTATTGACGAAAAATGAAAAGGCGTTTATCGCTTGTTGATGAGGTTGAGGAACTCCTCACGGGTCTTTGGATCATCACGGAACACTCCCAACATGCAAGAAGTCGTGGTCGATGCATTGATCTTTTGGACTCCACGCATCACCATACACATATGGGAAGCCTCAATAACGACAGCTACTCCGGATGGTTGAACTGCTTGAACCATGGCAGTGGCAATTTGTTTGGTCAAACGTTCTTGTACTGGAAATTTAATTTTTAAAACTTGAATAAAATATTCAGTTACACCTTGAAGTCGTCTGCTGAACATTTCAACGATTCTAGCGAGTTTTGAGAGTCCAAGAACTTTTTTATTTGGAATGTATCCAATGTGAACCTTTCCCATGAATGGAACCAGATGATGTTCGCAAAGAGAGAACATTTCAATGTCTTTCACAATAACCATCTCATCGTGATCCTCATCGAAGACAGCCTCATTGAGAAGTTCTGGAAATAGAAACTGATTAACTCCTCCAGATGATCCAGGTGATGTGTCAACTCACCATCGAGTTGGTCGTCGTATCCCTTGGTGAACGCCATCATGGCTTTGGCAGCACGCTCTGGAGTCTTCAAGAGTCCTTGTCGGTGAATGTCTTCTCCTGAAAAGAATTCGTGAAATAATCAGACTGCGTGGGAATGTGTCCCCATAATTTAATCATTGAATTCTAGGTTGTTTTCAGAAATGTGTGCCATTCCTCGAGTCATTCAGTCATACCGAATTCTGTGAGAGACAGGAAGTGATGTTTTGATTAGACCCCTTCTCATGATAACATTTTGTCATAAGGGAATCTGTGTTTCTTTAGTTCGTAAGTCAAAAGTTACCCATAAATATTGACCTCTGATAGTGAGTCATTATTTCTAAATTACGAAGTGTAAACAAAAACTTGCGGGAATTTAAAGAGTTATCAGTTGTACTAATGATCTTAAAAAATTGTTCTAAAAATTGAGCTGGAATTAGAAACTAGAAACTACGTCGTACTGATAATCAGATTTTTTGTATCAATGATCGACTAATCTTTTCCGAAATCAAAAATTTCAGAAATTTTTCATAAAAGTCATGTAGAGAACTCACCGACATGTTGAATAATGCTCTCATAAGCATTGCGCATTGACTTCAGATGATCTTCCTTGGGATTCACTCCGTTTGTCTTCTTGACATCAGACTTCAAGTCCACCTTCAAGTCATCCTCAGATCCAACACTGGCGGCATCAGAAGACAAAAATCCACTCTCGTTCTCGATACGGGACATTTTTGTGAAAAACTTCGAAAGATGAAGAAGAAAGAAACCTGGAAAATATGGAAGGTGAGAATGAGAGAAAGCGTAGGCGAGAGAAGAATCTGGTGGGAAGAAAGGTGGAGGAGGGAGCCCCAAGAATAAATGCCGGATGAAACCGAATATGTCTTAGATACCACTGAGTAAGAGTTTCAGTGAAAAAAGAATGACGAGATGGAGAGGCGGGGCACGTCATCTAAAAAAATAAGAAAGGGAGGAGGGAAAGGAAATCAATCTCAGACCGAATGGATAGACTTCTTCATCTTATCCCACTCATGAGGGGGAAAAATAAAGGAAATAAGGAAAAAAAGAATAAGAGAATAGCAAAAAATGGGGAATGCTACGGAAGACGTCGCCACATACATCAATCGTTTTCCGCCATTCTCTTTTTGGCACGTTCATGGTAACGATGATGGTAACAGAAAAAGGGAAAAAGAAGAAGAATGAATATTTTATTTATGCAAACAAAAGGAACGTGTAAAAAGAAACGCCGACTGATTAGGTTGGTATGATAGGCGCGGATAGAAAGAGGACTGGTCTAAAGGAAAAGGATACGTAGACGATGGAAGAGGATATTTTGCATCGTAAATCATGGACGATTGACGATCGTCGGACGCTCTCACGTGTACTTTTTTGCCCAACTTGACTAGAAGTTTCGTATCAAATGACCACAAAAATTTAGACAAAAGCTTTTAAATTGATTTGAAATATTTAACCCAAAAGTAGCCTTATTACAGAATTGATTTTAAAAATAATACTTTCTAAATAGTCTAGGTCCAGAAAACCAAACGCTGAATGACCATCTTAGTTCGTAAATTTCCTTTTTGAACGACTTTCTTTCTGAAGTGTGTAATCAGCTGAAGATGGGTAAGAAGAAGAAAGACATGGTAGAAGGACTGTCCTTTTCTCTTGATTACCTTCTTCAAATTTTTTGTCGTTGAAACAGTAAAAGCATCTTCAGAGGATCAACGTCATCAGGTCTTGTGTTTTATACGAAAAGAAAGTTTTAATGATGATGACAAAAAGAAACTGGAAGGAATTGACGAGAACGGATCTTCTCGCATCCAAAATAAATTGCAAGGATGTTCAAATAGTTCGGGAGGAGCGTTTCGAACTTGTAAATGTAAAGTTTTTGTCTACTTTTTCTAGTTCTCGTCCATCAGATATCGTTTTTATATTGACAGTCAGCCAGTCTGATGTTCGGGCTGATTGGGTACAAGTTGAGAGAAATGGGCGGTCAAAAAAACAAGATGAAAACTTGAAGTTATGTTTGTCAGCACTGTTATGATCAGGATTGAATGGGACTAGAAAGTTGGATTTCGCTCTTTTCGTTTTTAAAAACTGGATCAGAATGTAAAAGTGAAATGATTTCAAGATTTCTAAGGTTCCTAATGAAGGGTTAAACTTCCTAAGATTTTGAAAATTAAACTAGAGAAGTTTCCTAAAAAAAGAAACGTCACATGTAATTTATAACCTATTTGTTATAATTAAAGAAGAATAGATAACAAGACGAGGAGTGCCAGTTGGCCGATGTTGTACTATCTATCGGAGCCCTCTTTTATATGGAGTCTTATATCATCGCATGATAAATTGGTTCAGGAACTTTGAATTGTCACCTTCCAAAGAAAAAGAAAAGATAGTGCAATAGTGTAACTCTTTTTTGGCGGATTAATTAAGTGACGGAGTGAGACGGAGATTGCGTCAGAATGTAGAGAATGAGAAAGTGATACGCAGAGTTACGCTTTTCCGCTTTTGCTGACTTTTCAGAACATCATCTTACTGATCTGAAATCGACTATAATTCTTCTAATTCTAATTTGCAACTTTGACAGAGAACAGAGATCACTGTCAGGATTAGGGCGGAATTAGAAACATTTCGATTCACAATTTGGCGCATTGTTCCCAAAATCATCATTTGTGTTCCTAATAGGCACTGAGATGGTTTGATGTTTCAAATTTTTTATTCATTCTAACCTTCGACCTTTGAGAAGGAATATTACCGATAAACCTGTATTAGAAGTTCTCCTTTGATAGAAGGATCCCTCTATTAGAAGGGCCTTCCAAAAGGGTTACAACTTGTTGCGTTCGAAACTTAAAATTTCCATTTGTTTTCAGTGGAAAATTTTTCAGAAATGCCATATTTTTACAGAGATTTGTTGAAACACTATTTCCTGCTCACAATCAGATATTTGCTCAGTTCCAGTGAAACTGATAGATTTTCATGGTTTTTGAACGAGAATTTTCCTTATTTTTATATGAAAATTTTCGGAGAAAATGGCTGGAAAAATAGAAGGCCCCCTCTAATTGAAGGGTCCCTATAAAAGAAGAACCCTCCTTGGGTACCTTGGAACTATGGAAAAACCGGTCCTTCTAGTGCAGGTTTTACAGTATTTCAAGAAGCATTCAAGAAAAAAAAACACAGTGATAGAAAACCAAGATTCTCAAAAGCTGTACACAAAATAGGCAAGAGCACAATGGAATAAAAATATAATCATAGCTAGGGCTTTATATTTCTTATTTCTTGTGTTTCCTGCTGAACTTAAATATGCTTTATTCATTGTTTTCCTTCCGTTGTTTATACAGAACCTGGAAGTCAGATAAGGGGGTCACATTTTATGAAAAGTTCATCAGTTTGTATTTTGTTTCTCTATAAAAACAGTAAGTATTTCCGACGGATGTTTCGATGATAACAGTGGGTTCTTGAAATTTTGTTAGGACAATTGTAGTACTGTGTTTACCTCTTCCCTTGACCGGAAAACGTCGGAAGAAATTTATCAGTTGTAAAATTATTTTAAAATTGCAATGCTCTTTCTCTGTTTCCCTCGATTTCATGGAACGATTGGTCCCTATTCCGGAATTTGGCAAGTTTAATGAGGAGTTATTTGAAGTTTCGCACTTTAATTTTGGACCCAGTACACAGGTAAAATGCGAACGGGTCCGTTACGGACGCTTCGCGTTCGCGCGCGGTTAAAATAGGAACCGCATACGGACCGCACGCGAACCGTTTTATTATTATTCGGATTGATCCCCGTATCCTGTCCGTTTGCGAGC